CCACGTCGCCTCCCAGCCACTATGGCCAGACACCTGGTGGGCTGCACGCACGGCCCGCTCCTCCAGCGCAGCAGGAAGCACAGGAACGCACTTGACGTCGTTCGGCGGAAGCTTGACGCTGCGCTGTAAGACGCCGTCTTGAACTTGCAGCTGACCGCGGATGTTCCGGAAGCCGCTGTCAGGCGGGAGGTCGTCCCCAGCGATCACTGCGGCCTTCACTGCCTGGAGTGCACCATCGTCCTCCTGCCCGGCCAGGATCTCGGCCATCGACAGACTCGGCATGATGGCGAGGCTGGCAGCAACATCCGTCACGCTGTTATCCGATGTGCAGGCCAGCCAGGACGTCGGAACGCGCGTGAGCTGGTCGGAGAGGTTCTGTTCTGACGGAACCCAGTCCACCTCCACGTCAAGGCGAGCTGGTGCGACGATGTCGTCAATGATCTGCAACCGACGCTTGACGAGCAGCTCGTGGAGCCCGCCAACCTTCACGCGGCGCTCGTTCCCGAGGATCTGACGAAGCCAGCCATGCACGGTCTTGGAATCCGTGTGGAGGCGGATCTTCCGCGCAGGCCAATTGGCAGCCGCGTTGAGGCCCTTGATGACGGCGTCCAACTCAGCGATGTTGATATGCCGTTTGTCGTCAGCCGGGCGCAGCCAGCTGCGGTCCTCGATGACCTCGCCGTTGACTTGCACCACGACACCCAGCGCGATTCCCGACGCATCGCACCACACGTGCCACTCCGTTGCGTCGTCATGCTGCACCGACCATACGCCACGCACCGGATCGTGCTCGTTGACTTGGGTCTGGATGTCGCGGCAGAGCTGCAGCAGACGAGGTGGCACGGCGATATCCCAGCCGACGGATTCGCCGATCATCCGCTTCAGCCAATTCGTCGTCGGTCGCAGCCACGCACAGACGGGGTAATGGCTGACGAGCTTGCCACACCAGCTGAACACGGCGCGCTTGGTGGGCGCCTCCGGTAGCTGCAGGCAGACGTCACGGCGACGTTGCCAGTTGATCGTGCCGTCTTGAGTCGAGAGCTGGAGGCCCAGCACCCGAGCAGTAGGGAGCTTCTCGGCAGGCTTGCACTTCAGGCCGTAGCGCTCGAGCTGCTGGGTCGTGGCCACCACTTGGGAGTCCGGCACACGCAAGTCGTCGACATAGTTGTCCACGCCGTCGAGGTCTTTGGTCACCCACTTCACGACCATGTCGAGGATCTTCGGCGCGACGTTGAGGCCGAACCCCATGCGCGTCATGGCAAACAACTCTCCTTGCCACACGATCGCTTGATAGCGGTACAGACGGGGAGCCATCCGGATCTGGAGGTACGCCTTGCTCAGATCAAGGAGGGCGCTATCACCGTCCCCGAGTCGCCACTCGCGCAGCTTCTGGCCGCAAGCCGGCGCATCCAGGCCTGGGTGCGACACGAGACACTCATTCAGAGCGCGGTAGTCTAAGCACGGCCGCACGGGAGTTGACGCCTTGTGAGCCTGGTCGACAGCCATCAGTGGAAGAACACAGGCCGGTTCACCGAACGCTTCACGGTCGTACGGGACCAGCCAGCCGTTCTCGCGCCACATCTGGACCTCCTTGACGAACTGCTGCTCTTGCTCTGGGTTGAGTTTCTTGCGCGGATATTCTCCAACACCAGAACCAAGAGGAAGAGACGGCTCCGTGTCGGCTTTCCATCGCCAGGTGGCTTCCCAGAAGCCTAGGTCGTCGCGCCAGGTTGCCTCAATGTCGTCCATCCGCAGCGTGACCTGACCATCGCCGTCGCTGACCGAGATATGCCGTGACAGCTTCTCCGTGGCAGCCGCCACGCCGGCCGAGGCGACGTCACGTGCGGGGCCGAATACAACAGACGATAACTGGCCTCCCGGCTGATCATGGGAGATGCTGACACCACCAACTTGGGACACGATGTCCGATCCGATCACGATATCGGTGTTGAGGGCGTCGAGGTTCGGCACGACGAGCAACGAAACCTTGATCGTCGGTAGGTAGACCGAGCCATCCTCGCGCTTCAGCGTCATGTCCACGCTGCCGGTGACGTCCAAGGGTGTGCCGTCCACCGTGATCAGCCGGTCGCTGGTCTCCTTCAGGCTGGACTGCATACCCAGCTGCTGGACAACTGGCCACTCGATCAGGGACCGAGTGCAACCCGTGTCGACAACCGACGCTTGGCGGCTCCAATGCGCGTTTTCGACCTGCACCTCCACTGCAACTCGAATCAGCTGCGACGAAGGCCGGGGCATAGCCAGGCAGAAATCCGTCCGCGGGTGCGACGCTGCCGGGGCTGGTGCTGTGGCGGCCACACGTCCAGAATCTGACCTCTGAGGACAGTCTTTCCTCAGGTGGCCCACCTGATGACAGCGATAGCACGTGGGTCCACTCCTCTTGGCTGGAGCATCCGTGGTCGTCCTTGGCCAAGTCGACTGCGGGGGCCCACCACCGCCACCTCGCTGTCCACCGCCACGACGCTGCTGATTCGGGCAGCTACGGCGCATGTGACCCACTTGGCCACAGCCATAGCACATCAGCGACTGACTCTGGGGCGGGGGACCAGATCGGGCTGCAGCCACCGCCTGAGCGACCCCTGCCGCTGACTGCATCGTCCTCACCTGTCCAGGCAGCTCCGCGACGGTAAGGCTCTTCATGGCGTTGGCCAGCCGGACGGTTTTCCCATACTCGTGTGGTAGACCGCTGATCAACTGCTCCACGAGCAACGGGTCTTTCCCATCCGCAGCAACCTTGTGGCCTGACAATGTCAGCAGGCGCGTCAGGTCTGCTACGTAGGCGTTGACAGGCTCATCCAGGGCCAGCTGCCGCCCTACGAATAGATGGTAGGACTCCGCCGGGCTGGGCGCGAACGCCGCCTCCAAAGCAGCCTTCACCGCCGCGGTCTTCTTCCGATCCTCTGCGGACAACTGGTCAAACACCAGGAACGCCGGACCATCCAGCAACAATGGCAGATGCGCCATCTGTTTTTCCTCCGAGTCCCATTTGTGCAGTTCTCCAAGGACCAGGAACTTAGACCAAAACGCAGCAAGGTTATCACCTTTTCCACGAAACGGCCGAACAAAACTATCAAACTTCAACGTCGACATCGTATTGCACACTGCTACTCCACCAAACCGGGTTTCGGCACCAAGCTGTTAGATAATCACGACCGCCCCAACTCACTCCCGGACACGCACTCACAACAACGTCCACAACGAGTTCTTTGGCGAACAGTGTTCATATAATTATTGGAGAAGAAGCAGAGAATGTGGGAGAGCGAAAAACACAAGTTTGTTCCACGGCCAACTCTAAAACTAACTGGAACTGATGTAGTTCTTCGTTGTACGCACTGTACGCATGATATGAGAGCACGCCAGTTGCATGCCAGCGCGCAAGCGAGCAATGAACATGAAACGGACACCAGAAGTAAAAGGATCTGGCGGTGACACAAAGTCAAAGGGAATGTATTACATGTCGGGAGACCATCAATGAGCCATGGTAGCCGGCGGGTGCAACAAGGAATGTAAGATAGAAGTTAGAGCAACGAATACCATGCATACTCTCACAGGCTTGATGATTGCAAAGGTGCCAAATCTCCCGATCAGCTGGGAGATCTCCCGATTTTTGTTATTTTTAAACATCTCCTGATCTCCCACCGAATATAATAAACCTCCCGATTCGCTGCCGTTTTTTCGTTAACTCCGTCAAGCATACACACACAGACCCCAGCACGGGGAAAAAGAAGAAGAAAAAGAGCAAGCACGCATGCAGTAGAACCAGCTACGTAGTGCACGTACATGTAGATCTACGTAGTGCACTTACATACAGTGTAGCTGTGCAGGTTGTAGTGCAGTGCAGCTAGTGCCTCTACTGCGTCACATGCGAGTCCCCGCGCGTGCAAGTAAAAATGAACCTGCATGCGGTACATGCAGTCGTCTGCACTCGTACTCGAATGCCGTTAGGTGTTCTGAAGGCGCGTGGGTGCATCTGCATTTTTGACAAAACAGTTGGGTACGGCTTATAGGCTGCTCGTACTACGTTGCAAGTCGCGTTTTGGTATTCAACGTACTGGCACGCCCTCGTTTTCACGCAAGTGCATTCACACAGGCACGTACACGCTGTTCGTACAGCTGTGTGTAAACGTTTTGTGGACACAAGCGACAGAACGAGTCTCAATACAGGGTCTGGATACGCCATCTACGGTTTCATATCAAGAGTTCGATTTTCCCGCCACGTTCCATGTAACGTCTTTTGCAAAGCTGCGGGGAATTAAAGCCCATGGTACCTTGCTTGATTATATTAGCTACTACTACATGGCATAAGAGTTCATGTGGAAAGTATCTGGAAGAAGTAAAAGGAAAGCCTTGTATACCGTATTTCCCCGATTATAAGTCGCACTTTTTTGCACTAAAATTCAGGGTAAAAAAGGGGGTGCGACTTACAATCAAGCATGACTTACTACTGAAGTGAATATATCGAAACCATATTGCTCAAACCTGAAAATGGGGGTGCGACTTATAATCGAGTGCGACTTTTAATCGGGGAAATACGGTACATGTTGGTTCTGGAAAAGAGAGGGAAGACAAGAATAGATCATTGCATGTGCTTGCTGCAAGAACCGGAACTTCATGCATCTACAACTCTACTTTCACTAGTTTGAGGGAGTTGCAAACGTTGCATGCGTCTACATTATCAGATAGTAAACACAGCTTCCTAGTACACTCCATTTTCAGGAGGATACGGGGACCATGATTACGGGGAGCATGATTACGGGGACCATGCTTACGGGGACCATGATGCTGCGTGGGTACAGACTACACTCATGCACCTGAACAAAATGGGTCGCGTGAAGCAACGCTAGCGAGTTACAAGCACAGCACCCTGCTGCAATGCAGGTTCATGCTAGCTATATTATGAGTGCGGCAGATCATGCTGTAAGAAGCATTCACGAGTGCAGTGATCACAGCTCATCACTCCTGCCTCCTCTTTCTGCCAACAGATGATGTTCAATAACCTACGTGAAACAATACCGTCGCCAGTCAGCGATGGATCTGATCTTGACTGCTTCCTGGGCAATATGGAGGTAAGGTCTTTCTTCATGCACTCCTCTGTGGCTCCTGCTATACAGCTTTTTCAAGGACGGGGTGCCGTGCCCGCCAGCAGTGCTCACCCCGAGATTGTGGTGAACAGGTCAATTGTCAAAAATGCATTGAAAAGTACACGAAATGTGACAGGTTCATCTCCATCAGCGCTTGGAGCGATTCTGATGCTTGTTCTTTTTTGCCCAAGCCATGGAAGGGCTTCCTGGCAACTGCTCTGACTCAACACGGGTGTCGGATATCAAGTTGAACGCTGTCCTAGTGCTTCTTTCACCTCCATGCATCCATTCCCGCACAAAGTGAATGTGACCTGGGCTTCACCTGTTCACCAGCGATTCAAACATTCTCGTGCGTGATCCCAAAAAGTGACCGTTTGACCAATCTTGCAAAAGCTCTTTAGTACAATATAAATACCAAGAGCCTGCTGATTGCACACGTGTGTAACTCAGAGTCGCAATAAAAGTTCGTTCCGCCTTGCTTGCAATACCAAGAGTAAATAGCCCCCTCCCCCTCAGAGTGTGAAACTCTGCATGGGTTCCGTATGGGGTCCGTTGATGGTGAAGACTCGCATCACGTGGTATAGTGTTCACGCTGTACATTCCCAACGTCCCAGCCCAAAGTCCCAGCCTGCTTCTAGAGAGTGGGGGATACTGTAAACTAGGAAACTTTTGCGCCGGTTTTGGTTAGCGATTTGTGAGTGCAGACCAATTTGCGCCTGGAAATGTTTGCGATTCGAGTCCATTTCATTAGGGTTTCATGGCTACAGTGCTGTGCTTGGCAGCACAGGTTTACTGTTGCCATTTCATACCCACGTTATTTCTGCATTCATAGTCATAGTGATTGATTTTCCGCGCCGAATTTCTGACGCTGCATGCATGCCCCATGCGCGTCAACAGTACTTCACACCTTCCCTTTCCCGCGTTATCACCTCAGCTATGCCAGTTTTGTATGTGGAAACCTTATATAATAGCAGTTTGGTCTATATTTTAATCATTCAACATCTACCTTCACTGATGAGCTATGTATTAGCGAAACAGCTGTCTGAAGGAGTTTATCAATGTCGTCTACGGAAGTGTCCTCGCAATGGTGATGGTTGTGTGCAGGAGGGTCTAGTCGGCTAAAGAGCGCAGTGTACTGGTGGAGGTGACTCAACGATTTCATACCCATCGCGAAAATTGCAAAAGTGCCCAGATCGCATGGGTTCCCTCCCAGTTTACAGTATACAGTGTAGTAAATAGCACTCCCTGAAAGAAACTCACTCAGCTTATGTGATGCATCACTTGATGATGACGGATATCCAGGCTGCGCGAATCCTGGCCTTTGCTGTACATATTTTTCCGTGAGTTTTCGCCGTCGTAAACTCCATATGCAGCTGTGTACACTCTTGGGGGCTTATACTCTTGATAATACGGTAAGTAATACTAGGAAGTATTTGAACGTAAAGTGACATCTGCAGCAGAGAGACCGTGTGTTGTGTGTTTGGATTGAGGAAAGTATGGCAAGTGTCGGATTTCGCTTGCCACGACTGTACACGCACAGAGCAGTTTGCGGCGATTTATATTCGCGAATGTGGGATGGTGACGAAAATAACGAAAATTAATCTCCAGCGAAAGTTCCTCACTTTACAGTATCTGTCCTGGCGAGATATGCGGATTACATCATGCAGTACCACCAGGCGCCGAAGAACACCCAAGCTAGGACATCACCAAAATTCAAGAACATTTTGGCCTCAAGCGAAGGTCCCTGGTTCGAGTCCTGGTGGTGACAGTCAGTTTTTTCTTCAGACTTTTCCCTCAAAACGATGAAAAATATTTTTAACAACACAATTCAGGTGCCGGACTGGAAGCAAAGATGTTAAAGATCGAAGTTCTTAGTGTGTGTGTGTGTGTGTGTTTCATGTGTCACTGTAACACTGCATGCACAGTGTACCTGTACAGTCAGTGCTGCCCAATGAACTCCGATCGAGTCACTCAAGTACGCGCCGGGCATTGCGCAGCCCTGCATAGACCTGCAAACACTGGGCTGCGAAATGGTGCAAAGGCGCAAACCTGACTCACGCGATCGGATTCCATTGAGCAGCACTGTATGATTGTGAATGTACCCGCCACGAATAACAACGATGCTGGAATTTTGAAAATTAGAACGTCACTTGTCTAAAGAGTCTAGTAGCCCCCCCCCCCCCCCTTAAAACTGTTGGGAAATCTGAATAACGACAATTCACGAATAGCGACATGCTTTTAGTGCCCCGGGGTCATATTCACTGCTTGAATAACGACTTTCTGGGTTTTTGACAGCTATTTCAAGTACCTGTCATGCAGAAGTACCAGAACCCATGGCGATGGATAAAGACACACGTGCAAGAAGATGCAGCCAGGGGGGGGGGGGGGAGGCTTTTATTATATTTTATTTTATTTTACTTCTAAATAGTTGGAGTGATCAGCACAACTACACACATGTACAGTAGTTATACATATGATTGTACACTAATCATCATACATGTACATGACGATTGTACATTGTACATGTATGATGGCTCCAAAAGGCTAATTTTTCAATCTATTTCCCTTACATATTGATTATGGTGAAAAAAGGAGGACAAAATGTCACGAGTTATGACTAACTCCGAGTTAAACTAACACATTGGCATAGAGCATGATTGGATTGGGGATTGGTTTATTTAACGTCGAATAACAAACAGGCAGTGTTGCCTTATTACATGAGATCGACTAAAGTTACAGGCACACAAATGTAAGGAAAAGATTAAAAAGAAAAAAAGAAAATAGAAAAAGAGTAGGATTTAAGACAGCAGCTAGCTAGCAGAGGAAAGATTGCATAATTATTTGATCAGTGAGCAACGTAAGTCGATGAAAAGAGCTTCATTTTGATATGCATGTCATACTATACAAAATATGGGTTCACATACATTCAAATGGGACTTCAGGTATAAGGACACTTCGCGAATAAGGACACTTTTCTGACGCCCCGCCGAATGTCGTTATTCGCAAAGTTGACTATAGTCCAGGACTTTCGCCGTGCTGGTAACCCATTTCGGCGTTGCGAACTCTTGGTTCGCCTGATCACCAAAAAAACAGCCACCTCAATCATGTGGGTATCGACCACCTTTGGCTGGCTGTTACAGTCCCATTTAGGGCAGGGCTGATTTATACAGACTCGCATATGACACCGCTTGTCTGGGCCGTGCTTGGGGTCAGCAGGTCAAGGCCGCTATCGGGAGTTGCATAGACCGCCGATCACGCAGGTCTTCCAAATCCGGGGTCGAAACCCGCATCAGTTTCGTTACTTCGCAGTACTATGATCTTGTGTCGTTTCTCTGCACGACTCGAAACCCGCATCAGTTTCGTTACTTCGCAGTACTATACTATGATCTTGTGTCGTTTCTCTGCACGTATGCTACGAGTACGACTCCCTGGAGAATGAGCCTATCGAACATCGAAGCGCTGAGAACAAGTTCGGAAGATGGTGTAAAGACAAGTCCCTACCTGCAGCCACTGTAGTCTGTAGCTCGCTGGTCCGCCTGTCTGATCGAGTTCTCTCACGAATCACAGTCGCGCTTGTTTCTGACGGCTCGTCACTTCCACTGCCGTAATAATGGTCGATTTTCTACAAACAAATACAGCTCTCGCGTAAATACTTGATTGACAGATTGTCATGCATGATCGATGAGCCAATTTCTCGCCGTCTACTATAGTACTACTACTGGCGTAAAATAGGTCGAGTCATATTTTGAGGAGTCATTTTCAGATTGTATCTAGCCGCTGTCCGATCGGCTTATGCCCAATATAAACCGCCTGCGTCCTGTGGAAGTCACGGAAAGGTCAGCAAAACCAAATATGTAAAGAACTGAGAAGCCTCCACTCCAGATCCAGTGCTATTGCAGTGACAGCGAAGCTCTGAACTGAAGCTGAAAAGAGAAAGCCAAAGGGCCCAGCCCAATCCCAACACTGGCAACAGACCAATCCCGAAAAGATTGTCTGGGTTCGTGAAAGGGTCAACACAAGTCAAGTCACTGTCATTTTCCCGTTTGTCTCTGGAGTAGTTGTGTGCACGTAAGCCCATGGCGGAGGAGAAAGAGAGTCTTTCGCTCTCGGAGCTGGAGCTCATGAATTTGATGGAGTCCTACCGCCAGCTATTCAACGGACTGTCGGTAAGCTCAGGCAGAACCTGACGGATTGTGGGGGCCAAGTAGCTAATTACTGTAGCTTTCGGCGATGAAATAATTATTAGCCGGCTTGGCGATCGACCTTCGGTACAAATAATAAGCTAACTACTTACCGCAACACCCACGACTTCAACTCCTCGATCTTCTGCTTCACGATATCCAACTATTCACTAGTCCTGAGGCTGACTGCTGTACAATACGCAATAGTCTCCTGATCACGGAAAGCTAGAGTTTTATCGATGACCTGCAGAAACGTTTTGGGGCTGGATTTTCCGACTCGGATTGTTTTCTCCAACTCTCGCAACTAAGTAACTACAGTGCCAGTGTTTCCGCACACTCGTACTCGTCACCTATGTACACGTACCGGAAAAGCTTCATGATCTCCACTGACTCCAACCTAGCCTCCTACACATTGTAGGTTACCGAAGGCCCGTTCTTGCCTCAGTCCTGCAGTTCTGATCGCGGTAGGCATTCTCCTCGTCCTAACTGCGCCTAGTTACTCGCTCGACTCGTGATATTCGTCATCGGAGCTCTTTTGCAGTGTGTGGCAAGGCGATTGGCCACGGCGGGGCACTGGCCCAGGAAAACCGCAATCATTTGTGCCTTGGAACAGTGGTTGGATCAGTTCTGTTGAGTATAGTCGCTGGTCCTAGAGGAGGAAAACTTGCACGAAAGACCAGAACTCCTCGAAGATAAAGCGATCGCAGCAAACAATAGAAGATTGTAATCTACTACTAGTAATCGACTTGAAAGCTTTGGAAACGTCGCTTTGAACCACCGCCCGCAGCCTTTCCAGCTTCCTGTTTAGTGAAGTGAGTCCTACATGTTCGGTTCGTTGATCGCCTCGCATTACACAGAAGAGCGAAAAAAATGATTGTGGCCTGTCGTTTTGCCTCCAATGCTGCTATAGCAGAACATAACTACATCAGCATAAATGCAAAAATGTCATGCACTACTCGTAGTAGCTCCAAGTGGAAAACCCAAACTGTCCACCTTTTCTTCGTTCTCTTTCGTGCCCTCTCTCTTGGCTTGCATGCAACCAACAAGAAACCTTTGTACTGCCCCCCCCCCCCCCCCCACACACACACGCACACATAGGGGCCGCATTCATACCCAAACATGAAACAGTCAAGCACGTCATTGTAATACTGAAGGTCACACTAGTAGTAGTCATGCAGTACATGCATGGTACCAGGGGCGTAGCACCCACTACGACTGGTACGACCATGGCCGTACCACTTTTCGAAAAGTGTGGTCCGTCCGGAACGTGCAAAACCGTGATAAAAAAATCAGGATCCATCGATGCATATGCGCATCAGACTTTGACCTTTTCTAGACTCGTAGATCTGTTATGCATCTGCAGTCGGACTGAGTCTACTGTACTCGACTCGACTGCATGCACACTGCGCCAGAAGTGTGTGTGAAGTGTGCCAGAAGTTCCCAGAACGCAGGATTTTGTGTCTTTTTTACAAAAATTTCCCGCAGGAGGTCCCCCCGGACCCCCCTCCAACACGGCCTTCAGCCGCGCCGACCTTTGGTCGTACCACTTCCAAAACCCCTCCTACGCCCCTGGGTACAGTGTACTCTCAGTTGACATGCCCCCACCAACCCCCAGGACCGGCCATGCTAGCACCCCTGGAGAGAAAAAGGAGCAGCCAAGCCCCCTTCCCCCCTCCCCCCCCCCCTCCTGAAGGAACACAACACACGGCCAACCCTGTCACCGATAAACTCTTCATTAGCACCCAGCACCCAACACGACCCTGCTAATGCGGAATCCGTCTTTTCATTGTTTTGCCCTGCATCTGGCTGTAGCATCTGTGCTTACAAGAGTGCACGGCCCCCGCGAGTGTGCAGCTGCCTGTGCAACCTCTATCCAGTGATGGATTGGCCGGATTTCACATCATGTGACATGGTTCAGAAGGTTATGCTGACAAACAGTGCGAAGTGACCACCAGAGAGGCGTGCCCTCGCAGGGTTGCATACAACCCCCGCCTAGCGCCTGTAGCTGTGATTCACAGGGCGCAAATAATGTGTACAAGGGTGTTACGTGATGTGAAGGTCTGCCCCCCCCCCCCCAGCCCATAGACTGGAGCTGCATACTCTTGGGGGTTATGTACTGCTGGTGCTTGTCAGTCCTTGCGGTCAAAATGACGTAGGCGACGAAGGCGCTTTCCTTAGCTGGTGTGCAGATTAGTAGCACACTCTGGTTTACGTACTCTTGGTATGGAGAGTACAGACCCCCGGGAGTGTACAACTACCTGTAGAACCTCTATCCAGTGATCATGGTGATGGGACGGCAGAACTTCACAGCACATGACATGGTTCAAGAGGTCATGCTGGTGCACAGTGCACAGAGACCACCGGAGAGTTGTACCCCAAAGCAGGGCTGCTTACAATCCTGTAGCTGTCATGCACAGGGTGCAAATAATGTGTACGGGTTTGTCACATGATGTGAAGTTCTGCCATCGCAGACCCTATACACTTGAGTTGCATCCCTTTTTCAGGGCGGGGAGGGGGGGGGGGGCTTTGTGCTCTCGGTGTCAACCTGAGTCGAATAAGATCCACCGGTACCTCTTTTCCTGGGTTGGTACGACTCCCTGGGCATGCCAAGTAGCTGTTGACTGCTTTTGTTGTTTTCTGGTAGCTGGCAGTTGCAGGCAACCACTTGAACAATGTCTCATATTAGTGCCCATCTTATTGGCTGGTTTCTCCAACAGAGTCCAACTGAAGTGTTTGGCTGCGAGGAAGGCAATGACACTATCATTCTGGACTCTGAGCCAGTAAGTGGCATGCTGTACACATTGTGACATCCCATGCTGTACACAACCATGCATTTGTTTACATTCAGCAGAATTCGATATTGCACATTAATTTTTTGTCAGCTTGTGGTAAGTATAGAACAACTGTCAAGACCTTTATTTTATTTGACCCATCTGATGAGAGTATACAACTGTGATTGTGGGCCAGTGAGTGTCTTGCTACCTTCAATACGTAACTTGCCTGCATTGCACCCTGTACGCATGCACTCAAACTCTATGATCTCTTGTACTAGCCCCCCAGTTTTTGCTTGATATTCATTCTAGTCCTGGCAAAGTCCCTAATTTTTTTAAATTTTGGTTTTCAAACTCCAGTTCCGTCTGACAGTTGGCTTCAAGCCACAGGGAAATATGTTTTTGATTCTCTGCACTGATGGGGCTGTATGATGAAGTGAAGGCAGAGCGCCACACAGCTGGCCTATGGAAAGGGGTCACGGTTGCATACTCTTGGTTGTGGACACGTACTGCCACTGCAGTGGCACATGTACTGTAGAAGGAAAACGAAGAAGAAAGAATGCTGGGCCAGTTTTCTCCTCTCGTTTGGCAACCTATCCGTAGAAATCCAGTGGCAGTGATGAGGCTGTTCACATCGGACTTTCGCCTGTTGTAGCAGAAGGGTTGCCTTCAAGCTTGGTCAATTTTGTGTGCAACAGTTTGTTTTGGCTTGCCACATTGTACCTTTCTAGAACTTGATGATTTCATCAGGAGCAAGTTGGTTGACTGACTAACGCCACTCTTGACACTGACATTGTTCTTTCTTTTCTTTTTGTTCTCATCAGGAACAGGACTTTGCACAGGTGAAAATGGACCAAATGGAGTTGTCTTCATCCACACTACCTGACATATTCGAGTGCGATCTTATGCCCCCTCCGGTATGTAAGAATTGCTGTTTTCCCTTTGGCGTTACCGGTATTTCCCTTTTAAGGACAATGCATCAGCCATTACTTAAACCCTTTGTCACCCCACGGATCGATATCAATTGAAGGGTATACATGTACATTGGCACTAAAAAGATTTTCATAAAGAAGGAAGGAGTCTACGTTTCGAAGAGAATCTTGGCTACCATGTCAAAGCTATCCAAAGTCACTAGGACATACAGCACAGCTGAGGTGAGCCTCAAAGTCTGAAGCAAACTGTACTCTGCTCGAAAAATTGAAATTTAATTTTACTCTCCGTGCAATCAGGTCTTGCTGATTGCGTGCATGATGTGGTTTCCCTGGTCTATTTCCACAGTGGTTCTAGCTAGCAATTTACAGAGGAATGCAATACATGTACCAGAACGCACCAAAAGCTGCGGCGGAATCATCAAATGCTCCCATTTCCATAGGTCTTGACTTGATGTGTGATCATCCTCTATCTAATTAGCTCCTCTGGAGCTGGATTTTGATTGCGTGATTCTTCTACCACTCTTATGTTCGTGTACTGAGTGACAGGATAAGCCAGGCTTCTTTCTGTGCGAACTAGTTTAGAATGTGAATATTGGTTTATGCGGTTTATTGACCCAATGTTTTATTGCGTTCCTTTGCCAGACTGCCAATGAGACATGTCGACGTTCAAGCAGGGACCTTCAGAAAGACATCCGACGCATGCCAATCCAGGTCAGTGGATGGCCAAGTAGAGGAGCAATGCATCACTTCGGACACTGCCTTATCCATAGACAAGACTTGATTGTTACTGTAAAGCGTGAAATTTTCGCGGCGTTTTTAGTTCGCATTTTCAGAATCCGGACAGGTTTGCGAGGTTTTAATTTTGCGATTGCAGAATGGCATTCTTGCTAAACCTGTGGCATTCTTGCTAAACCTTTCATGGATCTCCTTTTCGCGCTGTCTAAATTTCGCGATTTACACGCGGTCGCGAATCCGCGATATTCATGTTAAAACAAAATGGCGTCACGATTTATTGAAAGTGGTATAGTTGGTGGTACGAGTGTTCAAAACCATTTGAACTTCATACTGTTCGTCTTCTTTTTGACATGCTCTCTTTCCATCGTCCTTAGCTTTTGTTTGTTGAGAGCTGTTTTGGCTTTCTCCTTTACCTCTGGGGGATGCCAAGTGATGGTTTTGAGAGGCTGGTGATGGCTGTGAGCGAGAGTTTGCCGATCGGCGTCGTCCTCGCTATAGCGATGAAAATACTAGTTACTGCGCACCTGGCAGATATCACAACACGTCGGAGCGTCCAGGAGCAAAGGAATCTTGGGTTTTCACTGGAATCTAGTTCCTCCAGCATCGTGTAGCCCACCGTCGGTGAATGGCGGTCCAGAAAGGTCGAACCTGGTCTTCTGCAGCATCTCGCAGTCCTGCGAGGCACACTGAATACGCCTGTCATGTATTCTACAAATAAAAATCACGAAGTAGTGGACTTTACAGTGATGAGTCTATCCTGTATGCTGCAAAAGACGCAGGAAATGTGACTGGTGTCTGTACACTCAGTGACTGGACGCCAACACCCCAGTCTTCTCCTGCAGGATCTGTTTGACATTGACATTATGCAGTAGGTCGGCATTGACCTGGTTTGGCAGCTATCGTAATAGTATCTGCCTGGTTGGATGTAGCAGGTTGGTGTTTGCTCGTCGTCCAGTCCGGAATTTTCTTGTAACTCACGGTGGAGTACGCGCAGGGTTTGTGATCATCCCTGTTCACTTCAATATTATCAAACACAACGTTCCCTTTGTCACTCATCTTATCCTGAGTACTGAATTTGCTGACAATATTGCACCACACTTGTCACAACCTACCGCCACTGCTGGCGGTGGCGACTGGTTCGTCAATGGCGGTGACCAGGCTGACTGACTAGCTTCGAGACAGCGGCCTCGTTGTCAACCCCGCGGCAGCCTAAAGGTTGATTTTATCGATCCAGCCTCAGCGCCATGTTGACGATGCCCTAGTGACTGTGTGTCATGTATTGCCTTGCGATCAGCGGTCATTGCCGTCCACCTTGATGCAGCCCTCAACAACTGGCTCAGCCCGTGGGAGTCTCAAGTGGACAAAGTTGTTGCCAAAGCAGCTCAGAAGATTGGTGCATCGTGGTGTAGGTGAGCACATAACTAGGACTTCCCAGCGCCTATTTGTCCAGGCTGCGATACTATGTGACATGCTGTACTGCACATTCATTTCAGCACTGCAAGGCCGGCAGCTGGACCGACTGCAGGGGCCGCGCACATGCAGGCCGCCTGTTGCCAGTGCAGCATTCTGGAACGTTCCTTCCTTCTGAGATCCGTGGAATAATAACTTTCTTTGCTTCAAAGCAAGTTGCCTACCTTTCTGTTGTGCTCCCAGTGTCCTTACAACAATAACCTACAGCAATGTTTTATTTTCCTTTCCTTTCCCCAACCAATGAATACTACGATGTCGATTCTATTTCTTCATACTTTGGTGTGTGCCCGCGCACGCACGTGTGTGTGTGTATACCTCACTCGCCACTCGAAGTTCTGTTCCCCATCACTGCAACACTGCCTGTTCTTTCAGGACCTGCCATCATCTGCGGATGGGCATTCAATGATTGTATTGTGTGTGTGTTTCATTCAGAATCAGATCCGCTATCGTTGCTATTAGAGAAAATCTGTGGGTTCACATCCAGTGCATTTTTAGATTTGCGTGCTTTTCTCGCCACGGGCGCATACATGGGACATTGTGTGTGTGTGCGTCTGTGTGTATGGGGATATTGTCTGTATCGGCTTTTGGTACTTATGTTCAGGTCTGTGCTTGCATGTGTGAACATGAAATTGTTCGGTTCTGTGCATGCTATTGCTATGTTGTATATTATTGTATGTATGTGTGCATTTCCACGAACAGTGTAGACGAGCGTGGAGAGTGCATTCATCCCTCATCAACCACTTCCCCTTGGGCTTACGAGAGTTTTTTCTGCGTACCTCTCATTTTTGTTTGTTTCTCTCTGATACTGTATTGATGCCGGTACCTGTACCTCGATGTGTTCCTCTATCTGCAGTCGCCTTTAACCTTCGGTCAAGTTAACGTTTATTGTGCTCTATTTATCGTGCGAATCAAAATAAACAATAATAACACAAGTCGTGCTAGAGTGACGACATGTGCGTGTAGTAGGGTTAATGCGATTGGACGTTATAATTAGGTGGAACAGAACACACATTGGCCAGATTGATTGGGCATCATTGATTGTGCTCAGTCTAAACAGTGAACATAATAATTATCTCCAGTGACAGACTGTAGCGGCTAGCCTCCAATAGGTAGCTGGCACTAGTCGCTACTGCTTGTTTGACAGGTGCCACCAGAACCCCTGTTGTGTCATGCTATAGATGCACATGCCCTGTTCTGGGGCATGCTGAGGTACTTTGATTTTGTTGACTGCATGTAGACAGCATCCAATAGCAGTACTCGTAGACCTTGGCTCTTTGTAGGTCAATCACCATCGCATGGATCGCCGGATCGGTGACTATGCACTTGGAGGTTGGAATAGCCCGCGCTGAACAGATCTTGCCATGGCCCAGGGAGTGAACTCGCTTACTCGACTATCCCGGTTTTAGTTAACCAGCATGAGTGGTGCAATTTGTCCATACCATGTTACGAGCTCACAGTTGTTTGGGCAGGTTTTGAGCTGCACCACGAAACAAAGCGAAATAACGGCGTGACTGTAGAGCAAGGAAGCGGCGAGACGGCACTTCCAGGACGAGACAGGCAGTAGAGATGTGTTCACAGCACGAGCAACCTCTCAAACCCTGCCGGTACTCCACAGTTACAAGAAAATGTCGGACTGGACGACGCGCCAATGCAAACCTGCTACATCCAACCAGGCAGATACTATTACGATAGCTGCCAAACCAGGTCAATGCCGACCTACTGCATAATGTCAATGTCAAACAGATCCTGCAGGAGAAGACTGGGGTGTTGGCGTCCAGTCACTGAGTGTACAGACACCAGTCACATTTCCTGCGTCTTTTGCAGCATACAGGATAGACTCATCACTGTAAAGTCCACTACTTCGTGATTTTTATTTGTAGAATACATGACAGGCGTATTCAGTGTGCCTCGCAGGACTGCGAGATGCTGCAGAAGACCAGGTTCGACCTTTCTGGACCGCCATTCACCGACGGTGGGCTACACGATGCTGGAGGAACTAGATTCCAGTGAAAACCCAAGATTCCTTTGCTCCTGGACGCTCCGACGTGTTGTGATATCTGCCAGGTGCGCAGTAACTAGTATTTTCATCGCTATAGCGAGGACGACGCCGATCGGCAAACTCTCGCTCACAGCCATCACCAGCCTCTCAAAACCATCACTTGGCATCCCCCAGAGGTAAAGGAGAAAGCCAAAACAGCTCTCAACAAACAAAAGCTAAGGACGATGGAAAGAGAGCATGTCAAAAAGAAGACGAACAGTATGAAGTTCAAATGGGTTTGAACACTCGTTCCACCAACTATACCACTTTCAATAAATCGTGACGCCATTTTGTTTTAACACGCATACGGTCCATTTCGCAGAAATTAGACCATCGCAATAATTTCACGGTTTACAGTACTTTTAAAAGTATCTACTACGCACACGATGCATTCTCATTGTATGCTGAAATACGAGTCTGAACTTCAACAAATGCACAGGTCTAGGATGCACAAAATTGCTAACATACTACGTTTCGGCCAGGAGACAGTCGGGTCACGGGCAGTCCCTTCCACAGAGAGTGTCCCTTACCTAGCTAGCCATAGCTGCAGGTTGCATTGTCAGCCAGTAAATGGACCTGGGATTGAACAGTGGACAGCTGGAATTGATGGAGAATGAATACCCACAATGTTCATGCTGGTCACCGAGAAAGCGAAAGCAAGTCAACACGCCGTCTTGTCCGGAGTATTAGATAATGTAGGTAGTGTATGTCGTCATCTGTCCCGGCCTGTGGCATTCCCCGGTAGTTTCACAACCTGTGTACATGTACCTGTATGCCACTATTCCTTCTCAGGACATCAGCAATGTTATATTGGGAAGTACCCTGAAAAGCAAGTGCGTCTTTCCGCCGGTTGCACCCACAACGAACCATGGAGAACACTCACGATCTAACTATTCACCACTGGAACTGTCATCAAATCATCAACGGTTTGACTTCACTTCGCCCACTGTTCCTATTTCATTCGCACCACCACACTCGAAGGTGAGGCATTCAGCATTTTCTTGCATAAGGTCATGCAGTTTATTGCATTGAAAAAGAACTAGCCTCCTGGCTACAACCTGAGCAGCCATCTACCCCTGCTTCCTGAATTTTAACAGTCAAAATGTGCTTATTCAATGTACCCCTCAGCGTCTGCGATATCGACGTCGCAGGGAATCTTCGTCCGCATCACCGTTCAATTGTACTGTTGAGGAGTCACCACAGAGTTGGGCCTTCAGCAGTGGGTTAGTTTGTTCTCTCTCTCTCGCTCTCTCTTGCTCTCTCGCTCTCTCTCTCTCTCTCTCTCTCTCTCTCTCTCTCCCTCTCTCTCTCTCTCTCTCTCTCTCTCTCTCTCTCTCTCTCTCTCTCTCTCTCTCTCTCTCTCTCTGTCCCTGTCTGTCTCTCTCTCTCTCTCTCTCTCTCTCTCTCTCTCTCTCTCTCTCTCGCTCTCGCTCTCGCTCTCGCTCTCTCTCTCGCTCGCTCTCTCTCTCTCTCTCTCTCTCTCTCTCTCTCTCTCTCTCTCTCTCTCTCTCTCTCTCTCTCTCTCTCTCTCTCACACACACACACACACACACACACACACACACACACACACGTGACACAAACACACACACACACACACACACACACACACACACACACACACACACACACACACGTGACACACAATGTCACACAGCCCTGAACATCTAATGTCCGTATTTTTCAATTGTGTTTTTGTGCGTTTGTTGCACTTAGCCTTTCACATTGGAGGCATCGCGCCAATTCTGCGGCTGCAATGGAATCACCAAGGTACTTAACTAGTAACCACTCTAGGCTTCAGTAGGCATGGAACGACTGGTTTGTATGTACCAGTCTACGTGTACATGATGTGTATCGTTGGTCTCCATTCAACGCCTATCTCAAGCTGTGATGGGGTCAACCACGGTGGAATGTTTTATTGTTTCATCTTTTGGCAGAAGTATGGTGATGTGTGCATGCCTACCGGCGCTTGTCCTGTAGATATGGTGTTGGTTTATCAAGTTCAGGATGCATGGATCTTCCGTCCTTTGTTCTGCTTCGACTACCGTAGCTGCGATGTACAAAGTCTTTATACTTTGATCTCTGGCTATGCATATGATAATGGCTTCAGTGAGTCGAATGGCCGCTAAAGACTGATGTCAATAAAAATTGTGCCGTGAGCTGGGGGATCGTCAAGTTGCACACTCTTGCTTACATACTCTTGCTACTACCGTAAAAGTCCATAAATAAGTACCTGCCCATTCTTTTGGCTCTGTCTGTTGAAGTCAAGTCAAGCCCGATAAACATACTGCCCGAAATAATCACGTAGCATGTACATCTACATGAAAATGACCTCTCCACTACACACAAGGCAGGTCCGAAAGTTAGTTCGTGCCCGAAAGTCAGTACCCGCCCGAAAGTTAGTACGGGTGTGGTCACTAAATTCGAAAGTAAATACGTACTTATTTACGGACCTTTACGGTATTCTCTTAACCCATGCCAGGGTCCTTGTGATAAGTTGGCCTGTTTTCGCACCAGACAGAATGCCCGTATATGTGCCCGTGTCTTGACAGCCACCTCAACCCCAGTACCGTATCACCATTCAAGTCAACGCCAGTGAAAAGCAATCATGCGAAGCGCCGGTCGTCTTTCAAGTCACCATTCAAACAGGCCATTGCTAGCTCTCCGTTCGTATCACCTGCTTTGGTAAGCCAAAGTCGGGGCATTTACTGTGTGGACTGGACGTGCTGGTGCTCCTGCAGCAGACATACATGCACATGTTTCTCAGCCTGGATCATTTATTGCGTGGAAAGCGATGGTTTATGTACGGGGTGTTTCCAGTAACAAGTTGCGGCTTGGCTTAGGAGCTATGCCCGTCCTCAATGTATATTGCAGCAAGTATAATTGGTTTACTTTCGCACGGGACACTCGCGATGGCATAGTACTTCCCAGAGCTTTGTCAGCTATGTTTACCAAATCTCCTATCCTTTCTGCATATTCGTATTGGCTCAAGCTGCCCATGGAAATGAAGATAATATCCAATATTAGACAGTTCATAGACCATGTTAAATGTCATGCCACGTTGTAGGCTCGCTCGCCTCTTTTGCTAGCTTATCTCGTCGCTCTCCACCATGGTCAACATAGTAATAAATTTCACCCCGCTGATGCATTCTTTTCTTCCGATTATCATATTCTTTCCTTCTTTCTTTCTTTTTCTTCTCTTGCCATGGCTGGCTAACGCCCCCTCCTTTGCATTGGCTTCTGCCATTGGACGGTGAAATAAAATAAAAATAAAATAAAAAATATTATGTAGCATGATAAATAATTGCTTTTCATTACGCAATTGTGTATTGCTGTGGCTTACGCTAGTCCACACATGCAGTGACCTAGATAGATGATTATCGTATATAGATTATAGCTGTCAGTGTGTCACTTTGTGTGCCTTGCTGTTCTTCTCTTCTTGTGTTCTTCTCTTCTTGTGTAGGTGCGGCGCCATACCGTGACGGATGTGTCTAGTCCCTTTCTTGACAAAGCATTGCTAAGCTCAGGTCAGCTGTCAATAGCTAGCATCATGGCTGGAACGGTTGTGAATAGTAACAATGGCGGTGATTTGTTTTCATGGACTTGTTTTACTGTTGTGAGGGGAATATTGCCTATTTAGAAGTAACAATGTGATGCAAAGACAAGTCGCATGTCTACTGCAGCTTGCAAGCTTATCATGCAGCAGCAGTAGCTCTGCTTTGGTGGTGTTGCCATTTTCGGTTGCGTGGCAGATGTGTGCTAATCTCGTCTTCTACTTACAGTTCCTATACATGACACTCTGTTTGGCGGGAGTATCTTGGTCTTTGACATGGTTGTGGTGTGCCCGATGCTTGTGTTGCTGGTGTGCAGATTGCTTTGGCAACCCCGGAGATCTCATAGGCGATATGAGTAGGGTAAGCAGTCTGCATGGACAACTTGTTAAGTAAAATACTCAGTGACACTAAAAAATAGTGTAAATACAAAATGCAAGTGCGCACAGTCAAGTCAACATGGATTTCAGGGGTTGTATTGACATCATTGGTGTGTATGAGGGTACGCTAGCATTATAGCATTCACCTATCCTCGTACGCAGCATGCGTTTTCCTGCCCGACTAGTCCAAGCTCAGTGCTGCAATGGCGAACCTTTGTTTGTGACGACAGCTACATCTGCTCTCTACTGGCTACACAAGAGAGGATTGTAAAATGTTGAGAGCTTTGTCCATGTGCCAAGCTCATCTCCTTTAGCTCCGTTCCCCTGTACTGGGTCAGTTGCACTGTACAGTGCTGGCCCGTGCATTTTGCCCTATGAATACAATTTGATAAAGTGCCGCACCCTGCATAGGCCTAGCACTGTGGACACTGGACTGCTGGACGGTGCACTAGACGGTTGGACTGCTGGGGACTGTTAGACTGTGCACTGGACTGAAGCACTGGTACATTCCGTGGCGGCGAAATTTCATTGGGCAGCGCTATATTTTGTTAGTGCCAAGTAGGCTCTAGACTCTCTTTTCTTTCTGCAATCAGACGCAAAAATCGGATGTCATGTCGTTCGCCTAGCTTAGCTGCAGGATAATAACAAAATGCTCTCACTCTTCCACTATGCTGTTCATGCGCTCAGCCATATGCTTTACCTATTCTGCCGGGGATCAGCAATGACGACCGCAAGTATATCCATCCGAAGACGGTATGTCACAGTGTAGCGTTTGTGTGTCTGTCGTGGTTCTACAAGCATGCCCAATGTTGCGTCATGCATTGACACGTACACTACACTTACTTCACATTGCACTCTCTGCATTGACACGTACAGTACACTTGCTTCACATTGCACTCTCTGCATTGACACGTACAGTACACTTACTTCACATTGCACTCTCTGCATTGACATGTACAGTACACTTGCTTCACATTGCACTCTCTGCACCTATACTAATTTCATTCTCACCTACCTGACCCTGTGCCAGTGAGGCTTTGTGTTGGGACTGCAGAGTATGTTGGTCATGTAGTCCGCTGCATCTTTACTATCGTTTTATTCCTTGTGAATCCCAAACGGGGTAAGGGGGGAGAAAGTAAGAGAGAGGGAGGGGGGGGGGGGCGTGAGAGAGACACACACACAGGAAATGCCAGCCGTAAGCCAGGAAATGCATGTACCATATATTTTATATGGGAATGGGTGCGTATATGAGGGTACGAGGGTGTGTCCAGCAAGCCGACCATAGCCTCCCTCAGCACGTGAAAATTCAAATTGTTCAATGTAGATCGGATGCATTGCAAGTCCAGTAATCCCACCCAACATGCAGAGCCGGCACCCTGGACTAGTTACCCTTACATGTACTCCATTCTACACTCATATCTCTCTTATTTGGACCTCGAAGTTGTGGGCACTTTGGTCTACCTGACACACTGAAGTGTAGGCGAGTATTAGTGAACTGCTCTGTTGGCAACTTTTGTGACGTCATATACCAGATCTCTGGGGGACTTCCCCATCGAAACATGTGATTCAGAGTTGCGGACTTTTCCAAGTTACGGGCGGTGCCCAGTCCCGGACCGCCTAAGATAAGAGCGATACGAGTGTATTTGTATGTGTGCTTCCAGCCGCATTCACGTCGAGGGCTGTGCAAGTCTGGGGCGCGAAATATGCACTTTTGGTCGGATTTCAACTAGCACAATTGCAGTATCCAGACTTGCTTTCTCCTTTTGTGGCGTGAGTCTGCCGGCTTTATCCTCCTCTTGAGGGACAGGTTGGAGCAGTACCCTGCAGCAATTTGCAATAACCAATCGTTGTGCGAATCCCGCACTTTTTGCCTTCCCGAAGAGCAGGGAGATTCGGATATGCATGTAACGTGTTTTCACTGACTGTGAGAGGTGCTTCTGCAAGTGTAGTCATTTCTCCTGCCTTTAGACCTCTGATATTCTCAGTTTATGATGCGCGCGGGGGGGGGGGGGGGGGAGTATTGAGACGACTGAGAAGTCATGGCTGATCAGAGTTGTAAGATATTTTCGCCCAGCTTGACACAGCTGCTGTTTTATTTCACCTTTGAGAACTGGGGAGACCAGCCATGATTACATCAGCTGTGCTTGGCTCTAGCTATCAGCATCACAGCAACGGACCCAGAAAAGCTTAGTGTTCTGAGAAAAACGGCAATTATCACCATGATATACCTGCAGATTACTGCATGATCTGTGCGGAGCAAGGGGACGCTAAGTGTGTGCCTACGGGCATGCATTGTCAAAATGGCCGTTGGGTCGTCACTTCCGACCCACCTACAGTACTACAGAAAAGGGAAAACTCAAAAAGCTCTCAACAGCCTGACGAGAAAGGAAAGAATGGCCCACAATGTTCGTTCAGGAAATATTGCCATTCTTGGTTTTGCGTGTTGTCGCCGTGATAAATCACCTTCCATCATGCCGTGTTGTGAAATAATAATGGGTGATATTTGTTATTCTCTCCCACAGCTTCACGATCTGATTGATGGCAAATATCCCAGCGTAAAACATTTCAAAATTATCGACTGCCGCTTCCCATACGAATATGAGGGTGGGCACATACAGGTGAGCTTGCACACAGTACGTTCACAGTACCGGTACATTGTGCACCAGTGATTTTGTTCTTATGTGGCAGGCTTGACCAGGGAGTGAACTGTCTGAACGTCCATTGAATTTCCCGGTTACCAGCTTACCACGAGGCCAGAGCGGAACAAAGTGATGATTGTAGTAGGCATGTCTATTTTACTGTAGTCCGTTCGGACTGTATGCTTCGTGAACGCCTTGTTGTGATCATTCGCACGCGATATATATAGGCAACGGGAAAATGGTAAACTTTAACCTTGGCTGTCCACTCCACATAGTATTTCAGGTACCAGATGTGTACTGGTTTGAAAGTTGCTTTTCAAATTGCCGATATTGTATGGATTCTTCATCAGTTTAGGTGATCGGGGAGGGGAGGAGGGCATACACTCTTGGAGCAATCATTAGCATCACATTTGGGCTCTAGTGTGTCTGCTCTAGTTTTATTCTTTGAACGTGTTTGCATTATTATTGTTTCATTGCATTGTATGGTGTTTCATTGCATTGTATGGTGTTTCATTGCATTGTATGGTGTTGCATTGCATCCGCTAGGGTGCTATGAACCAATATAACCACAAGGAGGCAGTGAAGTTCTTACTCGACGGATCGAAAGATCTCCTCGATGAAGATGGCACTGCACCCGTGCTGATTTTCCACTGCGAGTTCTCGTTGCACCGTGGACCGGACATGTGAGTAGCAGGGCCATTCTCTGATTTACACCCTGATCTCCATTTTCCACTCGTATGCTCTCCAGTGCCCTGTATTCTGTTCGGCGCAAACGTTTTTTGGCGTCCCTGAAACGAACATCGTTCATTTGGGCTAGCGTGGGGGGGGGGGGGAGGTGTGAGCCAAAATCGCCAGTCGACCAACACCGTACATGTATAGAATATAAGCTTCGCCCTCGTGTCTACGGGGGAAAAAACCCGTAAACACGAGGGCAAAGCTTATATTCTATTTAAATTATAGTATAAAAAACTCCAGTCATTTTCCTAAAAAGTGGTTTCTTATAGCACCAGGTTTTTTATGTGAGTGATTACCAGGAATATTAACTGCTTATTACTGTAATTTAAGCACATGTACATGCATGCGATTTCCGTCGTCCTCAAAAGTACTTCAGTAAGTTGTGTTCTTTTTTCAAGGTGTCAAAGTACAACATGAACAATGTTTGTTTCACAGACGATAAAAACACTTTGTGACGACCTCTTACTCAGATAAGGACTTGATTCGCTGCACTGTGTGGCAGGTGTGAAGTGCATTGCGTTGCATGGTAGTGCTGTGATCTGCGATCAAAACTTCAAGAATTAACTTATGTGAAGTCAATGCGGAACTTCTGCCAGACTGCGAGCAAGAGTACATTAGACCACACATTTTTATTTCTATGTTTCTCGTCACCTGAAAATCTAAAAACGTATGCGAGAGGTGGAAAAAAATAAAAAAATGACCGAAAAACAAAAAAGCTTATTAGACCTTTGTTCACACTAAAATCCACCAATACACCATGCAAAATAGCATCCATAGTTAGCAACTAGTAATAGTACTAGTATGTGGTAGGAGCTTCTGTCACAATCTGTGCATTTGCAGCTAGATTGCGCACAAAAAATGCCGTCCTTGCATCATGTGTCGCGCAGGCCAGGCCAAATTATGTACATGTGCATGAGTGTGCTGGTCCCCACATGCACAGTCACTGCAGCACAGTTTTTTTTAGTTTTTTCTTCCAGACTCCTGAATCGTATGCGCGCGGGTGACGAGAAACATAGAAATAAAAACGTGTGGCCTTACCTCCAAGAGTGTGCAACTCCAGCTATGGGGTCTGCGATGGTAGAACTTCACATCACGTGAAAACTCGTGCAAGTTGTTTGCATGCTAGATACAGTGTTTGCACCCTGTGCATGCTAGATACAGTGTTTGCACCCTGCGCATGATAGATACAGGGTTGTGTACAACCCTGCTTTGGGTTCAACTCTCTTGTGGCCATTGTGCACTGTTTGCCTGCGCGACCTTTTGAACCATGTCACGTGATATGAAGGTCTGCCTTTGCAGCACTGCACTGCATAATAGAGGTTGTGCAGGGGCAGTTGCACACTCTTAGGGTAATGTACTCATGCTGTGAGTGGCAGGTGATTCTACAAGAAATTGTGGCCGCATAATCGCATAATCCAGGGGGGGGGGGCAGAATTGTGGCAGCAGTCGTGTTAATTGCAATGGTGCCCTGGCGTATTGAGAACAACTGGGTGACTCCATGGCTGAGTGATAAGCCGCATATGCACACGTAGCCGAAGTTCAGCTGACGTGCAGCGCTCTTCAATGTGCTTATAGGTATCGCTTCATTCGCAGCATGGACCGAGAGCGAGCACTTGAGCGCTACCCACAGCTGTGTTACCCGGAGATGTACATCATGCGTGGTGGCTACAAGGAGTTCCATGCACAATATAAGGTATGCTGCTTGTGCACTACTTGTCATCTAGTAGTATAGGCTTTGTAGCGATCAGTACCAGTAATGGGAACCATGCTATATTTGTGTGTGTGTGTGTGCACTCGCGTGGGTGTGGGTGTGTGGGTGGGTGTGGGTGGGCGCGTGCATGTGTGTGTGTGTGGGTGTGTGGGTGGGTGGGTGGGTGGGTGGGTGGGTGTGTTCACTTCTAACCTGGCTGCTCCCGGAATGTTCGTATTGGTATATGTTCACAGGGTCACTGTGAGCCGCAAAACTACATTGAGATGAATGATCAGCGCTACACTAAGCAGTTGGATGACTACTGTGGCAAATGCCACTTCAAGTTCCGCAAGGGGGGCGGAGCGAAGCTTCCTCGTCGCCTGACGCTACGTTTCTGATGATAATGATGATCATGATGATGTTCATGATGGATGGATGGATAAAACAGAAAGCTGCCAGTATGTGCTGCTATCCTGTGCTTACACAGGACATGGGGTGGTCCCTTCATGCGTCGACTACGCGTGAAGTATTCCACCTACCTGGCTTCTTTCGTATGCGAACAATACTGTCGTCGTGTTAAACCGTATTAATGGCATGGTACTCGAACCGACATTGCAATCACAACTTTCTCATTTAGCAATATATACACGCTCTCTAATACTCTATGGCTGAAGAGCCGCCCATTCTGCAATGTGAGCGTGCCTCCGCCGCCACATTGCTCTGCTTTCCCGGATCTCTGCAGCTGACTGGCCAGATGTAGCACATCATCTCATGCCATGTACTGGTTCTACCCCCCTACGCTCTTCGACTGCTCGGAGTGAGGAGATCAAGACGAGACCAGACACTTGAGATGCCTAGCCCTCAGTATGCAGATCTGTTTACTAAACCCCAGCTGTTTCTTTACACGCCTGCTGCCTCCAATCGAATGGGACATGAAAAATTTAAAAAAAAATTAAATGGAGGAATTAAACTGGCTGCATGGCTTGTCCGCCTGCTGGCTCTGCGTTGTCCCAGTACTGTTACTGTCACACTTCACATACTCGTGCGCGTGCACACACACACACACACACACACACACACACACATACAGACAGACATGCACACATACACAAACATACACATATGCACACACATGTGTGTGTGTGCGTTCTGTCATCATGCAACCTAGTGTCTCACACGCTGTTGCTGCCGCCGCCGCTGTTGCTGCTGCTGTGCTATTCGGGCTGCACACGGTGATGTGATCCAATAACTAGATTTCAATACGCAATTAGGAACACAATATTCAACATTCATTCTGTTTATTAACGCCTGCCTTGGCTCATTCGCCTTTCACATGGTATGGTTGATGCTGGTTTATGCTGTATCATGCAAGACTCCCACCACTACCGGTAACGCATCTGAACCAAGGACCAATTCACAACATGGTGCCTTTTTGATTTGCTGGCCATCCTACCTGCCATGGAACATGTTGCTGGCATACAGCCAGCTACTCTGTTAGCTCGCACATTGTTAACGTGCAGCCCACATGCTCTTCAGTTATCAAGACTTAGTGATTCCTGGAGCAACCGGCTCAGATACGACATCAGTCGCAAGATGCGTTAATCACATCGATGAGTATGCCTATTATGGAGCAAGGAAGCTGCGAATGTGCAAGTGTTGGCAAGCAATGCAAAACCAGTGTGTTTGCTTGTATCCACCTAGCTTCTTCATGTTGCCAATGAACACTCGCAGCCACGTAGCAAGCAGCCTAATATATATCCTGAACCGCCCCGGCGACGGAGCAATGGTCAAGCCCTGCTGCACTGTCACCTGTGAGCTGATCGCATCAATGTCACCAGTATGCTGATCTCCCATCAATGTCACCAGTATGCTGATCTCGCATCAATATCACCAGAATGCTGATCTCCCATCAATGTCACCAGTGAGCTGATCTCGCTTCACCGTCACCAAGTATGCTGATCTCGCTTCACCGTCACCAAGTATGCTGATCTCGCGTCACCGTCACCAAGTATGCTGATCTCCCATCACTGTCACCAGTATGCTGATCTCCCATCAATATCACCAGAATGCTGATCTCGCATCACAGTGATGGCTGTTTGCTTGACCAGCAGCAGTAGATAGGCACCTGCCTTCTTGACCAGTACTGCAGTACAGCATTGCTGCTACCTTTGCCAGTGCATTGCCACCAGCAAGGGTCTTCTCTTTATTTTTGTCTCTCTTCACACTTTCACGATGCATGATGTTTTGCGGCACCAAATGCGTTGTATCTATTTTCCAATTGCATTCATATGCGCACTAGCATTCATTAGAAATGTGCTTGGAGTCAAGATATCTGCTCCCCCAACAAATACGCATGCTTGCATCATTTGTGTGTATGTGCACGTGTGTGCACATGTGCGTGTGTGTGTGTGTGTGTGTGTGTGTGTGTGTGTGTGTGTGTGTGTGTGTGTGTGTGTGTGTGTGTGTGTGTGAAAAATGGAAAAATGAAAATAGGGATTCACTGGCCAGAAAAAGTCACTTCAATCAGCTGTGTGGTGGATACCAGGCTAAAAATAGTGGCGGTCAATTCATCAGCCTTGCAAGCTGTTGAATGGTGTAATCCCAGCACAAGTTGCTATGTCTAACATAGCTGTTCGCTATCATCGCTTCCGCGATGGGCAGGTCTGAGGTCTGAGGTGTGTGTGAAAATAAAATAAAAAAGACCAAAAAGTAGGGATTCACTGGCCAGAAAAAGCCACTTCATAGCTGTGTGGTGTAGACCAGGCTGAATAGTGGCGGTCAATTCTTCAGCCTTGCAAGCTGTTGAATGGTGCAATCCCAGCATAAGCTGCTATGGCTTCTGCTGTAGCATCGCTATCATCGCCTCCGGCGATGGGCGTCCAATGGTCCAATGGTGTGTGTGTGTGTGTGGGTGTGTGTGTGTGTGTCTGCTGCTGGCTACGGTTGCGCCTGCGGCCGCATGTTCCGTCGAAGCGGCGACCTGAAACGCCATCAGTCATTCTGTCGTGGACTGGAGAAATAACAATGCGCTATCATTGCTACGCAATGGACAAGGTCAAGGTGTGTGTGTGTGTGTGTGTGTGTGTGTGTGTGTGTGTGTGTGTGTGTGTGTGTGTGTGTGTGTGTGTGCGTGCGTGTGACAGACAGACAGACATAGAGACAGACAGACATAGAGACAGGGACAGACAGAGAGACAAAGACAGACAGAGACAGACAGATACAGATAGAGAGCATGGTGGGGTTCCGGGGCAAAGTCTCCTTTTTCTATACCATAATTATACTACATGTAGTACATACATGGCCGTATCGTCTGAACGTCTCCCTACATGTAATTCTGGCAGTTGACCTGGTCATATCACTGTAATCACACACACACGTACACACATATACATTATGTTTGGCAGGCCAAACCGATGCCCTGATCACCGGGATAAGTTGCTCTTGAAAGTCGTTATATCTGTACACTTGGATCAGGTCTTGCCGTCCTCGTGTTGCTTGTGTAGTGTAGGCAGATCAGCAGTAGCGATTGCCTCTCAGAGTGAGCCGGCATTGCTGAAAGCAGCAGCTGGGGAGATGTCATTAATGTCATGTCCGCATGTGCTGGGTGGTAATGATGAGTCGCAAGCCCCATCCTTACTTCTTAACCACTGGCAACAACTGGGTACTGTGTTGAACCATGCTATTGTAACAATAGCTGCTGCGGAAACAGGATCCCGGCGGTAAAAAGGTGCTCAGGCTGGGAGTAGGGGAAAAGGGATTTTGAAATCCCTTCTCAGTACCGCGGTGAGAGCTGCACAAGGAACGTTAGTTTACCGGTAGTGCGAATGTCCTTCACTGTTTATCGCCATTCACGGTTTGACGGGGTTCTCGGTAGTCTGACCGCGCCCTTACAAGAAAGGGTGTAACACATAGCAAGTGCACACACTCCAGGTTTTTCAACAACATTCTGAAAGTTCTTCACAAGTGAACTTTGTCCTTCTCTTCAGGTAATGTACCGACAAGAGCATTTTTAACTTAACAGTATAACAGAAAGAGTAACAAAGAAATAGGAAAGAAGTGGGTTGTGAGCAGCACTGGCTCACATTCACAACCCACTTTTACTAATGAAGCTGCGTGATGCGTCGTCCTACAGGATCCTAACAGAAATAGGAAATAGAATAAATCCATGAAAAACCAGGGTGGCAAAATGTCATAAAAACGGTTGATATTAAAACTGGAAATTTAGGAATGCAGAGAAAGCGTGTGTCTAAAACTGAAGATGAGTATCAACCAGAGCAGATCATACACAGAAAAAGCAGCAGCCTGTGCAAGCCTGGGCATTTGAATGGTCAGTTTGTGCACTACCGCACCCAACGCCCTAAACACGTAAATGTGAAGAGAAACCACCAGGCGGTGCTATGGTTGCACAAGCTCACAACTACTTCAATATCATTGTCAGATTCACAAGCAGGCACATGCCTCAAAAGTTCTTCCAGTGCTGCTCGTCAGTTTTCGCCAGGGCGAGCAACTCGGTGGCACAGGCGTCGGGGAACCGTGACACCCACGACTCCACCATTCCCGCGGTAGTCGGCTCAAAGTTCTGCAGTTTCACGGTACCTGCAGACAACACGCAAGGTGGGACGGCAGATGCACAGAAAGCAGAAGACAGTTCACATACGGAAAGCACCGCAACTCATTTAGTAACACTACAGCAGATGGCGTGACTATGTCAAGTGGATTCTACCAACAGAGCAGGTCTACCAACAAGCATTGGGTATGGGTGCTGCTTGTCAATGGCTCGATTTCAGGCAGCGTTGTACACTCTACTGTAAGTGTACAAATATCCGGCCTCCCAGGCTAAAACACATTTCCGGCCTCCCAGGCTAAAACACATTTCCGGCCTCCCAGGCTAAAACACATTTCCGGCCTCCCAGGCTAAAACACATTTCCGGCCTCCCAGGGCTAAAACACATTTCCGGCCTCCCAGGGCTAAAACACATTTCCGGCCTCGCAGGGCTAAAACACATTTCCGGCCTCCCAGGGCTAAAACACATTTCTGGCCTCCCAGGGCTAAAACACATTTCCGGCCTCCCAGAGCTAAAACACATTTCCGGCCTCCCAGGGCTAAAACACATTTCCGGCCTCCCAGGGCTAAAACACATTTCCGGCCTCCCAGGGCTAAAACACATTTCCGGCCGCATTAAATTTTCGACCTGTACTACTGCTGACTCTATACACTGTGACACTGAACCTTGCAAAACAAAATTTCGGCGGGCAGATACGACCAGGCGGAAATAGCCGAAAAAATATGCGCTGAATATTTGCTGACTTTAATACAGTAAGCAGAAAATTTAGTCGGTAAATAATTTCGTCAAACGCCAAAGGAAGAGAGTTTGTCGGGTGGAAAATCCGTCCATGGATGTTGAAACATAGCGAAAGGTAGAACATCGACATTCAGTCCTGCATTTTTAATTCAGTCCGAAAATTCTTTGGACGAAAATGACGAACCAAAATTGCCAACGAATATTTCTGCCTGTATAGTACTAGCGGGTAGTTGTGAGGTTTACACCCAGTGTTACACAGTGTTACACAGTGTTACACAGTGTTACAAAGTGTTACACAGTGTTACACAGTGTTACACAGTGTTACACAGTGTTACACAGTGTTACACAGTGTTACACAGTGTTACACAGTGTTACACAGTGTTACACAGTGTTACACAGTGTTACACAGTGTTACACAGTGTTACACAGTGTTACACAGTGTTACTAGTTGTGAGGTTGCTGCTGTACACAGTGTTACTAGTTGTGAGGTTGCTGCTGTACGCAGTGTTACTAGTTGTGAGGTTGCTGCTGTACGCAGTGTTACTAGTTGTGAGGTTGCTGCTGTACACAGTGTTACTAGTTGTGAGGGTGCTGCTGTACGCAGTGTTACTAGTTGTGAGGTTGCTGCTGTACACAGTGTTACTAGTTGTGAGGTTGCTGCTGTACGCAGTGTTACTAGTTGTGAGGTTGCTGCTGTACGCAGTGTTACTAGTTGTGAGGTTGCTGCTGTACGCAGTGTTACTAGTTGTGAGGTTGCTGCTGTACACAGTGTTACTAGTTGTGAGGTTGCTGCTGTACGCAGTGTTACTAGTTGTGAGGTTGCTGCTGTACACAGTGTTACTAGTTGTGAGGTTGCTGCTGTACACAGTGTTACTAGTTGTGAGGTTGCTGCTGTACGCAGTGCAGGGAGTCGTACTCAAACTAGGGAGGTGACACGGCACAGAAATCCGTGTCACAGGGGTTGACTCGCACCCGTGACCCCTCGTTGTTATTTTTGGAATAGTTCAGTCCAGTCCAGTCCGAAAGGTCATACTCGGATCGACTCGCCTTCTGTACTTCACCTCCAAGCGTGCAACGCAAGACCCGCAAAGTATGATTTTTCTGTGGGGAACGATTTTGCCATTGATCAAGTTTTTATAGGAGTGCTCAAGCATACTACGATTGCTGAGACGTCCCGAGCACGCTTGTTCAGGTTCTCTATTTTTGACGAGCCGGTCCTACAGCCCCCTACATTGTATCTAACGACGTAGGAGCTGACAATGTAAGAGGATTTCCCTGGAAATAATGATGATGGTGGTGTGACTGCTGCAGGAAAAATGCTGGCTGTTTATGACAGTATGACTAGATGTACAATGTAGCTCTCTTGTATGGTACTTAACCCCTGCTAGAAATGTGTTGTTTAGGAAGACTGGTGTATTGTGCAAGTCATAAAGAAGAAATGGGGCAGATACACGACTTACAATTTTCAAAAACCAGCTTCGTGTTATGTCTAATTTGTGTCAAAATTGTAATATTTAGACATGACAATATCATTGGCTGTACTTCTCTAATATGGTACATAACCCCTGCTATAAATGTGTTATTTAGGCAGACTGGACCATTGTGCAAGTCATAAAGAAGAAATGGGGCAGATATACGACTTGCATTTTTCAAAACCTGGCTTCGTGTTATGTGTAATTTGTGTCAAAATTGTAGTATTTCAACATGACAATATCACTGGCTGTACTTCTCTTATATGGTACTTAACCCCTGCTAGAAATGTGTTGTTTAGGAAGACTGGTGTATTGTGCAAGTCATAAAGAAGAAATGGGGCAGATACACGACTTACAATTTTCAAAAACCAGCTTCGTGTTATGTGCAATTTGGGTCAATTTTTAGTATTCGGATTAACCTAGGATACGACTCTGAACAGTTCTGAACAGTTACCGTAACACTACACGCTGTCTCATAACTAATGCTGTTGCCATCACTGCTATCAAGTAGTTCGGACATGGCAGGAGGTAAACAAATTGCTGGTAGTCTTTCAAAGAATACTGGCGAGTGATGGGCTGTAAACGAAATGTGCTGCCTCAATAATTTCAAAAACTAGACACCCATGCTGCACGCTTGGAGGTGAAGTACAGAAGGCGAGTCGATCCGAGTATGACCTTTCGGACTGGACTATACTGAACTATTCCAAAAACAACAACGAGGGGTCACGGGTGCGAGTCAACCCCTGTGACACGGATTTCTGTGCCGTGTCACCTCCCTAGTTTGAGTACGACTCCCTGACGCAGTGTTACTAGTTGTGAGGTTGCTGCTGTACACAGTGTTACTAGTTGTGAGGTTGCTGCTGTACACAGTGTTACTAGTTGTGAGGTTGCTGCTGTACGCAGTGTTACTAGTTGTGAGGTTGCTGCTGTACGCAGTGTTACTAGTTGTGAGGTTGCTGCTGTACGCAGTGTTACTAGTTGTGAGGTTGCTGCTGTACGCAGTGTTACTAGTTGTGAGGTTGCTGCTGTACACAGTGTTACTAGTTGTGAGGTTGCTGCTGTACGCAGTGTTACTAGTTGTGAGGTTGCTGCTGTACACAGTGTTACTAGTTGTGAGGTTGCTGCTGTACACAGTGTTACTAGTTGTGAGGTTGCTGCTGTACACAGTGTTACTCTGCTTACCATTGTCCTCGGCGGTGGTATGTGCTTGGACAAATACCTGCCTTGGCTTCTTCCTGGCCAGGACAATGTTGCGGATTTCGTACCAGAACTGCTGAACCTCACTGGGGAATCCAGTGTAGTGGTTGTACATGCCGCGTGCAGCATCCACATCCGCTGTGGACTTGTACACCTGCAAGCGGTGGAAAAAAGAAAAAGAAAACATGGCGTCACAAACACACAGGTGCACGTGAGGACACATGGACATGTCGACATGCGCACAAACTCTCAGCAAACGTCCAATTAACGCATGCAAGAACGGCAAGGTATGGTAGCATTCCACTGCATGACGTAACTACCTGATCAATGCTACCAGGTTGGACCCCGCCAGGACACAGACAATACAACTCACTTGTGACACAAGTAATGCTCTCTAAGCAACCCATGAGGAGGTCCAGTACATGAACGTATTCATCCGTCTATTCAGTTGTCTTCACTCCAGAGGACATGGCAATGCTTGTGACCCAAAGTGCAGTAAGTACTTTGTGCAGATATGTACACTGACCTCAGCATTACCAGCAAGTACATGACCACTGTACACTGACCTCAGCATTACCAGCAAGTACACGGCAACTGTACACTGCACCACCATGACAACTATACACTTGCTGCAAATGAAGGATCCATGAGCGGGATTGGAACCCAGCACCCCCGTCTTTCCGCGACAGTGCCCTACCGATTAGGCTACTGGGGATCACACACACACACACACTCTTGCTACACAATGTGTCACCAAAACAACTTATAAGCCATGGCCAGTAAGTGAGGAATCGGGCAAGATGGGTGCCGGCAGACAATACACGTCCATATATGGAATGATTATGTGTACTAGTGACGGTACCTGCAGCTTTTGCAAGAAGGCAGCAATGGCAGGCTTTCCCAGCAAGTAGATGAGAGAGCGGTCCAAACGAACGACGACATCCGGCTTGCCATCCTCCCCCGTGACCTTCTCGATACGCACTATGTCCGGGTGAGCTTCCAGCAGCACTCTCAGAATGGCATGGCGAGCCTGCATGTGAGCCTGTAATCACAGGAGAAAGAAAGTAGAGCAACAAGGCTATACATATACAATTCAAGCTGGTACTCCAATGACACGAGAGAACACTGCGCATACAGTACAGTACTGCCTGTGAGAGATACCAACAAAAAATACTCTACTTAATGTGCAACTCTAGGCTTTCATCGCTTGTGTTACTACCAGTAATCACACAGAGAGAAAACCAGAAGGAATGATGTCATTCTCATCAATGTACCTGTCGCCATGACTCTGTCTCGGGAGTGTAGACTTCCAGTGCGCAAAGGCCAGCACGCACCATGAGCAGCCAGTTCACATACAGAATATCACTGGCAGCCCTGCCTTCGTGTCCAAAGATCCTACACAGCCAGATGCATACCAGAAGTGGACACACACGCACACATGCCCACCCACCCACCCGTCCGCATACCCACCCACCCACACACATGCACACACACATGGACACATGCACACACACATGTACACACACACACACACACATGGACACACACACACACACACACACACACACAAGCACAAACACGAATAGTACACACACATTAAACAGAGCATCATCCGGTCCACTCAACACCATCAGCACGAAGCGCCATCGTTGTTAGTCCACTAGCACAGCGTGGTCGTTTCAGCACTTACTGTAAACCGCCCACTAAATTTTCGCGATTTCTTAGAACCAGCGAGTTTACGATGGCAAAATTTCGCGAAGCACCGGGGCCACCTACATACACCCACTGTTGAAGTTTGAATTCACGCTGGTTAATATTCGCGTTCCGGTCTTCTCGCGAAAATAGCGAACATTAAACCGTCGCGAATAATAGGCAGTTTACAGTATTCAGCAGTGCACTGCACAGTGGTGGACATGAGAACATCTAACCATGCTCACTGAGACAAGTTGTGCTGGCAAAGCATCCATGCAGCCCAGAGCAGCATTGCTAGCTCTATCTGATGCTAGAATCATCAGGCGCATAGCCCACATGGGGCACGTGCACCCCCCTAAAAATTTCGACCTTGGTTCAGCATGTACATAATGACCATGAATGACATGTACCAGCCATCCTACACATATGCGGCTATGCACCCCCCCCCCCCCCCCTAAAAGGGGGACCAGCTACGCCCCTGATCATGATGTTCACAACAATAAGATGCTGGGCAAGCAGCTGACCACTTGTGCTACTTACTTCAGAATGTCCTTATCCAGACACAAGTAAATGCCCACGCACTCAGCACGGCACTCCTCGTACGAAGACGACATTGTCGAGAACTTGGTGTCCCACGTATCCAAAGGCCCATACCACGTCTTGACCTGCAGAAACAGTATGTACGCAAGGCATTGAAAGCACTCGGCGCTAGAGCGAACACGGAGTGATACCGCCAATCCCAGGACACCAAGCTGCTGTTTTCATCACGTTTATATGTCTCACCAGGAAAGCTCAGAACTGTGAGAAATACAGTGGAACTTCAGTCCCGTATAATCCAGGACGAAACAATCTGCACTTCATAACAGACGTACTGTATATCGATATTAAAGGCCAAATGACTGGGAGGCATTGAGCAGGGTCCAAACAAGTATGTTATATGCGATGCAAAGAGAACAGTATGTTATAACGATAGCACAGTCCCCTGGTCTGTCTGCCTACTCCCTTCCTCTCGTACACAAGCACATGCACAACTGGCTAGTGTAACTGTCGGTAGCTCACCTTCTCATTGGTCAAGGGATCAATAACACTGTCAATGTCGAAGTTAAACTTGCCCTCCGCATCCTGCAGCACACAGACAAAATCATCAAGGCAAGCGAGCACACACATTCTTTAAAAAAAGAGAATAGATGATCATGGTCCCTCCTTGGTCACCTGTACCTGTACGTACAGTTGTCACCTGAGTCCTCACACTAGTCACAAAGACATACATCATTATACTCTTCACCCCTTCCCTCCTATTTCTCTATTTCTTCCGAGAAATCATGTTCGACTCGCCGACTCTCTATGCGAGTCCACGATTGTACACATACAGGTACGTTGTGCTTCTTTCTGCGTTCCTTTTCCGCATTTTCTGTACGGTTTCTGGCCAGCTTCTGTACAGCTTCTGAGTCGTGTACGGTGGCACGTCGGAACGGCTAACCAAGCTGAAGAACAAAGTGACCAAGACTCAGGTGATGGCAGAGTAGTTGAGTTGACAGGTCCAAGTATTAGGAAATTAGAGGCCACATACCTCGTACTGCTCTTTTCTCTCCTAAACCCAACACTTGCAAGCCAGATACGAAAGAAACTTTCAACTCAAGATAGAAAAAATCAATGTCCAAGTAGCAAGAACAATATTAGACACTCGACCACCAATACACACTTGGATAAGAGCAGGATAAAAATAGGATGTTATGAACTTCTAGTAGAGGAACAATGGCAGTGACTGGTTTGCCACACTGGCATGGACCTACACGCAGCCTGAAGAGTAACAGCATGGTTCAAGCCAAAGGAGGGTAGGGGTACAGCCCCCCCCCCCTCTGATTGAGCGCCCCCTCCCCCTAATCATTTGCCGATTTTTGTGTTTTTTCAGGCAATTCAACAAAAATGCAGTCGATAGTCACTAACAGAGGGTTCATAAAGGCACATTTGTCTGGGGTGAAGTCGGGGGTTCACCCCGTATGTTGCATTTTGCACGGCAAGACAATTTTGAAAAATGGAAAATCAGTTACAGGGTATCTATTTCCCCTGCCCTACTATTTTTGACCTGGCTAGAACCCTGAACAGGAAAGTCAACGTTTACTGATCAACACTTTCCTTTTGTTCTTTAAAATTTAATTTCTTGCTACCATGCCAGCATTTCTCTTCTATGGCAACAGCCATTTTGCAGTAACACCGCTGTTATCAGTGAGAACAGCTAACTGCTTAAACATGTTTTCAAGTCTTAGATGAAGCAACAGACAGCAAACAGCAAACAAGACCGACCTTCTGGAAGTGTTTACCACTGCCGTGGCCAAGCAGCTCATGCAGACCAACTTGAACATCAAAAGATGGTGCCTTGAGAGCCTTGACGAGCTCCTGAAATACACAGTCATAGAGTGCACACCACACGCTTGCGGATAGACACTGTACACAAGCTACAAGGATCCTGGATAAAGGATAGTACTACTGGTAGTCAAAAGAGCCTCACAAGACCAACATGTATTGGTTAGGGAGCCAACTAGCTGAAAGCCTGAAACGCTGCATTCACTGACCGCCATACTGCATCACATAGTGCACATAGATGTACAGTTGTGGCAAGTGAAATCCGACACTTGCCATAGGGGACAGCGCCACAAATGGACACCAATGATGTAAAGCACTGCACCTAATTTGTACTATAGAGCTGTATGCATCCCAAACAGACCAAAAGGTCACAGCGTAGATACACACAGTTCACAAACATGGTACACATAAGGAGTATTGGTACATGGAATCCAATCCCCATTCATTTTTGCCAGCACCTTTTGAACCTTGACTGTGATGAGTACGAGTTTTGTCATGAAACAGATAAAGTTGTATGGAACACATGTACTGTACGTATGCAGGGCTGCAGGGGCTGCAGACTGCATGGTGCAGTCCCTTATGCCAAGAGTTGGATTTCACTTGCCACAACTGTACATAGAAGCATCAACATACACCACTACAACAGAGTGTTCATTACACACACCACTACAACAGAGTGTTCATTTCAAAAGTACACATCACACTGTACAGTACATAAGCACACAATTCCAAAAGCAGAGTTCAATACTGTCTCTTCTGAGCGCCACTTGTAAAAAAAAAACAAAAAAAACAACAACACTTCTAAGCAGAGTACAGTACTGTCGGGTTGTGAAGAACAGAGGGATCAGAGGGATCAGAGGGATCAGCCTCGTAGCCCAGGCCGTTCTTATTTTCATGTACTACAGTCTATGCACAGTTCAGTCACCGTGTATACATTGGTATGCTGTGCTTGGCACCCGGCAGTAGTGCATGATTATTACAACGTGAGAATGTCCTTACTTGATCATCATCATGAACAAACGTGATCTTGCCGTCTGCAGTGCGGGCAGACAGCACGTTACCAAGAGAAACATTCTTGAATCCTTCCGACTGGCGAATGTCATCATCTAAACGAAAGGAAGTCAAAGGGGCAAGGAGGAACATAGATCATGGGACAGCATAACGCGACATTCATTCACCGTCAGCTCCAACATGAAGTGTTTTAACACTTTAAGAAAAAACGAGAGAAGGTTCCGAAAGACTATAACATGTACCCTTAGCAGACATGCAGCAGCGCACACGCACACGTTCACTATCAGCAGACATGCAGCAGCGCACACACACACGTTCACTATCAGCAGACATGCAGCAGCGCACACGCACACGTTCACTATCAGCAGACATGCAGCAGCGCACACGCACACGTTCACTATCAGCAGACATGCAGCAGCGCACACGCACACGTTCACTATCAGCAGACATGCAGCAGCGCACACGCACACGTTCACTATCAGCAGACATGCAGCAGCGCACACGCACACGTTCACTATCAGCAGACATGCAGCAGCGCACACGCACACGTTCACTATCAGCAGACATGCAGCAGCGCACACGCACACGTTCACTATCAGCAGACATGCAGCAGCGCACACGCACACGTTTACTATCAGCAGACATGCAGCAGCGCACACGCTCACTATCAGCAGACATGCAGCAGCGCACACGTTCACTATCAGCAGACATGCAGCAGCGCACACGTTCACTATCAGCAGACATGCAGCAGCGCACACGTTCACTATCAGCAGACATGCAGCAGCGCACATGTTCATTCTCAGCAGACATGCAGCAGCGCACATGTTCACTATCAGCAGACATGCAGCAGCGCACATGTTCACTATCAGCAGACATGCAGCAGCGCACACGTTCACTATCAGCAGACATGCAGCGCACACGTTCACTATCAGCAGACATGCAGCAGCGCACACGTTCACTATCAGCAGACATGCAGCAGCGCACACGTTCACTATCAGCAGACATGCAGCAGCGCACACGTTCACTATCAGCAGACATGCAGCAGCGCACACGTTCACTATCAGCAGACATGCAGCAGCGCACACGCTCACTATCAGCAGACATGCAGCAGCGCACACGTTCACTATCAGCAGACATGCAGCAGCGCACACGTTCACTATCAGCAGACATGCAGCAGCGCACACGTTCACTATCAGCAGACATGCAGCAGCGCACATGTTCATTCTCAGCAGACATGCAGCAGCGCACATGTTCACTATCAGCAGACATGCAGCAGCGCACATGTTCACTATCAGCAGACATGCAGCAGCGCACACGTTCACTATCAGCAGACATGCAGCGCACACGTTCACTATCAGCAGACATGCAGCAGCGCACACGTTCACTATCAGCAGACATGCAGCAGCGCACACGTTCACTATCAGCAGACATGCAGCAGCGCACACGTTCACTATCAGCAGACATGCAGCAGCGCACACGTTCACTATCAGCAGACATGCAGCAGCGCACACGTTCACTATCAGCAGACATGCAGCGCACACGTTCACTATCAGCAGACATGCAGCAGCGCACACGCTCACTATCAGCAGACATGCAGCAGCGCACACGTTCACTATCAGCAGACATGCAGCAGCGCACACGTTCACTATCAGCAGACATGCAGCAGCGCACACGTTCACTATCAGCAGACATGCAGCAGCGCACATGTTCATTCTCAGCAGACATGCAGCAGCGCACATGTTCACTATCAGCAGACATGCAGCAGCGCACATGTTCACTATCAGCAGACATGCAGCAGCGCACACGTTCACTATCAGCAGACATGCAGCGCACACGTTCACTATCAGCAGACATGCAGCAGCGCACACGTTCACTATCAGCAGACATGCAGCAGCGCACACGTTCACTATCAGCAGACATGCAGCAGCGCACACGTTCACTATCAGCAGACATGCAGCGCACACGTTCACTATCAGCAGACATGCAGCAGCGCACACGTTTACTATCAGCTTACAGTTGGGTATGTTGATACCAGCTGGTATTCCACTACCACCGAATGCCAGTACATCCAGCGAGGTGAAGTCTGGCCGCAAGAAAGTGTCCTTCTCGAATGTGGCTGGCCAAGGCAGCATTGGCAAGAGCTGCGGTGCCATTTCGACAAGCTGGCCAAACTGTGCACTTTTGGCCTTGTCTACAACAGCCACGAAACCTGTGCAAGAACAAGACAAAGAGACAGAAAAGGAGAAAGGTAATGGAAAAGTGAGACTACGACGTACCCAATGAAATATGAAATCTAGCAAGAGTGCACTTTCAGCTTCTACAGCTTCTGACCCACCGTTTGTTAGACACAGCCTGGCTGTCAATGTGGCTTATCCAAGGAGGTGGCATAGTCAATTGTAGGACTATGTGAAATTCGAAGCTTAGTCATAGCTGATAGCGTTCGCATGATAGTGAGATTCCATATACCATTCCTACATGTGTAGTGTGTATGTCCTGTATATTATCGTCTTGATCACTATGTGTGTGTGTGTGTACTGTAGCGGACATGGAAATCCAGTCGATTGACCGGGGACGGCACCCTCAGCGCGCGTACAGAACGCTGCGTGCAGTGCACATGTTGATCTGTTGCGACGAGCGCGCTGACCAGTTTTGGCAGTGAGCAACAAGTACAAGTACAAGTGTGTGTATGTGTGTGTATGTGTGTGTGTGTGTGTGTGTGTGTGTGTGTGTGTGTGTGTGTGTGTGTCTTTTTGACTGGCCAGAAAAAAGCCACTTCATAGCTGTGTGGTGTAGACCAGGCTGCATAGTGGCGGTCAATTCTTCAGCCTTGCAAGCCATTGAATGGTGCAATCCCAGTACAAGTTGCTATGGCTTCCGCTGTAGCATCACTATCATTGCCTCCGGCGATGGGCGTCAAAGGTCAAAGGCGTGTGTGTGTGTGTGTGTGTGTGTGTGTGTGTGTGTGTGTGTGTGTGTGTGTGTGTGTGTGTGTGTGAGAGGCAGTACTAGTAATCTCCGTACTAAGCAAGAGTATGTATTATCAGAGTACGTAATGGGCGAGTTCCACTGTACCTTCAAACTCTCCTCGCACTCCAAATGGATCACGATAGCTCTCGATGAACCCGATGTAGCTGCAACAAAAAAGAAAAAAATCGCAGCTTGACCTTCTCCATGGGTAGAGAGTGGCAAATGTATGTCGCACAACGCACTTGCAAATATGGTCCAGCAGCAAATTGCCAGAGCACCCCTATCATGAAAGCGCCATGCCAAAAAGGGCACATTCCAGGCTGGGTAATTCCCTCGGCAGGCTCGGTGGCGTCCCGTTCAGCCAGCTCCTGAAAGACTACAGGCACAGGTGGTACAGGGGATTCCCCTCACACCATAGCACATGCACTCACACGCCGTCAAGCAAACAGTACCTCACCCATGTGCTGACCACTGTTCACCATTGCACTGTACCTTTCCACCACTGGACCCTTGTCGGCAATCCAAGACCGTGACCCTTGCTTATGCCATGGGATGGAGCCACACTGGAAGCTGTTGATGTAGCCCGTAAGCGCCAGCACCTCGTTCTCATTGGCTGCATACTCCTGCAAACAAATGTAAAGTATCAAACAGGCAGAGAGCAATATGTAAGTACAACTATGCAAAGAACGCATTGATATTCAACCCAAGACGTGAAAGTGGAGAACTAAAATGCAATGTGCATTGTGCATGCTTCGGCGATTGTTGCATCGGAAAGTAGACTTCTTTGGGATTGTTGCATCGGAAAGTAGACTTCTTTGGGATTGTTGCATCGGAAAGTAGACTTCTTTAGGATTGTTGCATCGGAAAGTAGACTTCTTTGGGATTGTTGCATCGGAAAGTAGACTTCTTTGGGATTGTTGCATCGGAAAGTAGACTTCTTTGGGATTGTTGCATCGGAAAGTAGACTTCTTTGGGATTGTTGCATCGGAAAGTAGACTTCTTTGGGATTGTTGCATCGGAAAGTAGACTTCTTTGGCTTCTTCCAAAGTACATGTACTTTGATTGTGATATTCCTCAAGATTTGAATGAGCAAGAAACACTTGAGTGCATTGAACCCCATTGGTAAATTTAGGTATAGTCAGATGTAAGGAATTAAAAGGCCACATGCCACGTACTGCTCTTTTCTCTCCGAAAGTCAGATGTAAGTTTGTGAAACCAATACTCAGGCAGTTACAAGAGTATGTCCATGTGGTCATGGTCCACTGCACAGTGCAGCATTCATTGCATGACTGGGCTGCACCAGACCCTATGATAGTGTACTCATGTGCGCAAGGCCCACACCAGCTCGTTTGAGTACGCCGGTTTTTTGCTTTATTCGTTCAAGTCACGGGCTGGTCCCTGAGTTTGGGGGTTACAAACTACCGGTCTGTGAAACTTGAGAGGCATCGTAAAATTCGAAATTGACTCGTGCAGCCATAAATCACTAAATCAGAGCAAACATGCGACTCATTAGAGTTACCTTGGCCTTTGTCAAGCTGTCGACGACGCGCTGCATGAGCGGTGCATAGTCACCGCGTACCACGTTGATCTGCACACCATTGTACTCATAGGACTTCAGCTTGGCATGCATATCATCATCAGGACCAGCTTGCTCACCTGAAAATTGAACGGCACGGGCGGATTGCAACACAAGGCAATGTCTGGCCAATGCTATCAAAATGAACAGATTAGCAATTTTAGACTATTGTACGTGTACTTGCTGGACAGAATGGACAGCAAGATGTTCCAATGTGGAATGGAGCAAGAAAAGAAAAGAAGTGATCATCCTGGAAAGATGAAGAACCTACATGTATAGGCTACATCATTCGGTCCTTCATTCACAGGTGGGTAGCCCGGGAGGGACACAGGGGCATACGCACCCTCTCCCTCCCGGTCCTACATTCACAGGTGGGTAGCCCGGGAGGGACGCAGGGGCATACGCACCCTCTCCCTCCCGGTCCTACATTCACAGGTGGGTAGCCCCGGAGGCACACAGGGGCATACGCACCCTCTCCCTCCCGGTCCTACATTCACAGGTGGGTAGCCCCGGAGGCACACAGGGGCATACGCACCCTCTCCCTCCCGGTCCTACATTCACAGGTGGGTAGCCCGGGAGGGACGCAGGGGCATACGCACCCTCTCCCTCCCCTAACATCTTTCGACATTCGTTCAGCCTGTGCATGCTTGGGCCAAATGGCCTAGGGACCGCAGTTCTGTGGCTGCTGTAAAGCCAGAGGGCCAGTATGCAAAGTACACTTGTCCTTGTATCAGACTGCAGCTGTATACATGTACCTGTACAGTGCAATTTCAATCAGAAACCGACTACTGGTATAACTGTACGAGTAAGTACGAACGGCTTCAAGAATATTTCGACTACTGTAAACTGCCTAATATTCGCGACGGATTAATGTTCGCTATTTTCGCGAGAAGAGAGTAACGCGAATATTAGCCACCATGAAATCTAACTTCAACAGTGGGTGGATGTAAGTGGCCCCAGTGTTTCGCGAACTTTTACCATCGCAAACCCGCTGGTTCTAAGAAATCGTGAAAATTTAGTATTGGGCGGTTTACAGTATGCACCCCCCCCCCCCCCCCCCCCTCCCTGAAAGGTACCAGCTACACCACAGCTACACCACTGATTCACCACTGATACACCACAGCTACACCACTGATTCACCACAGCTACACCACTGATTCACCACTGATTCACCAGTATGTAACCAGATTGCACCTTACACAACCACTACGTACTAAGCAACAACAGCAAAGTCTTTCTCGAACATTCTCTACTCAACAATAATAAGCTCACATGCCCAACCAACCTGAAGTGACAGCTGATGCTAAACGAAGTTCATAGGTGACCTTTGAGGCACCATCTACAGTCTTGAAAACGCGAGTGTTGTACGGACTGAGGTCCTTCAGGTACACAGACGCCACACAGAATAAATGCAAACAAGCACACGCACACACACACACCCATGCACACACCCATGCACACACCCATGCACACACACACACACACACACACACACACACACACACACACACACACACACACACATGCACACACGCACACACACACGCACGCGCACACACACGCACGCTCACACACACACACACGCACGCACGCGCACACACACGCACGCGCACACACACACACACACAAAACATCAGGACTTCGAGAGCCCATCGGTAAATGCAAATCAGGAGACAAAATAATAGCATTGCAACTTGCAACACGTACTCAGCATCCAGCTTACCTCAGATTGCATAAAGGTCTGGATCAGCTCAGCGTCAGATGTAGCACAATTTGATGAATAGTAAGTAGTCAAGCCCTGCCAAGTTGATCAGTCATCGATGAGAACCAACACACACATACACATGCAAGGTCACTCACACACACAAACACACACACACACGCGTGCACGCGCACACACACACACGCGTGCACACACACGCACACACACAAACACCATAATGCATGCACCCATAAACACAATACTGGATTAGCTCACCACCAAAAAGTTACGACATGAACCTTGTCGAGCAAACAGACTAAAGAAAATGCAACATACCAACAGGTTAAAGGGGAAGTTAAGGCAAAAATTAAAATTTCACCAGTTGTAGTCTTCGGGGTGCTGAGTCGAATGGTCTTGGTCCGAGGTCTATCTCCGCAGCTGGCTCATTTCAATCACTACCGGTCGCAGCTCCTACCCACGGCAGGCCGACCGTCTCTCGTTCACACTCTGTGTGCTCCAGGTCACAGCTCCTGCGCAGAGCAGGCCGACCTGTCTGTCTCTCTCTCTCACACACACTCTGTGTGCTCCAGGTCACAGCTCCTGCGCAGAGCAGGCCGACCTGTCTGTCTCTCTCTCTCACACACACTATGTGTGCACCGGGTCACAGCTCCTGCGCAGAGCAGGCCGACCTGTCTTTCTCATGCACGCCAGCTGCTCCGCCCAATATCCCTGATATGCCAACCAGAAAACAATGTGTTCTGAGCCGGGTGCATGCCTGTATGTGGAGAGTGCGTTAATAGGGGAAGTTAAGGCAAAAATTAAAATTTCACCAGTTGTAGTCTTCGGGGTGCTGAGTCGAATGGTCTTGGTCCGAGAAAGCTGAGACGCTCCCTTCCTACTTGAATCCCAATCGAACTCGCGCACTTCCACCGAAACTGGGTGACTGCGCCCCACTAGATGGGGATTTGTATGCAAAATGTCACTAAAAGCGCCATTTCGTTCTTATAAAAGCACGGATGACCGCGATTGGCCCATATGTTGTAGTCTTTTGGACGCTGAGTCGACTGGTTTTGGTCCGAAAAGGCTGCGATGCAGCGTTCCTCCTTTATTCCCAATCGAACATGGTTGAACAAGCGGTCACGTGCTCCTGCGTACACCAGTCACCTGGTCACCGTGCCTGCAGGGTACAACTTACTAGCCTGTTTGACCTTTTTTGGGTGCAGTCCTGTCACTCGAGTTGAACCTTGGTGTGAAAGTTGTCGCCTGCTGGCACCCAGGAGCACGTGACCGCTTGTTCAACCATGTTCGATTGGGAATAAAGGAGGAACGCTGCATCGCAGCCTTTTCGGACCAAAACCAGTCGACTCAGCGTCCAAAAGACTACAACATATGGGCCAATCGCGGTCATCCGTGCTTTTATAAGAACGAAATGGCGCTTTTAGTGACATTTTGCATACAAATCCCCATCTAGTAGGGCGCAGTCACCCAGTTTCGGTGGAAGTGCGCGAGTTCGATTGGGATTCAAGTAGGAAGGGAGCGTCTCAGCTTTCTCGGACCAAGACCATTCGACTCAGCACCCCGAAGACTACAACTGGTGAAATTTTAATTTTTGCCTTAACTTCCCCTTTAACCAGGTCTCCTGCTACCTGTGGATGGTCAACTACATGGCAAGATCTGAGGCTGCTTCTTCACCCATAAAAGTGTGCAATGAAAAGATACGGAACGACATAGAACAAGACTAGTTAGTAGAGTCGGGTGATCGGTGCCCGGACACTTTTGTGTACGCATTTTCTGGGAGACATTTTTGTAGTAAAATCCATTGCCAAGTAGTAAAAGTCCGCACATGGGTCAAGCAGACGTGGATTATTCCTCTCACTGAGTGTTTTTTTGAAATTCTAACTCCTATCTCGCTGGACACTGTCACTGAAAAGCAAGCCAATTTTCACGAGGATTTACGTTCGAGTTGATGGTGTTCAATGCCCGGACACTTTACATTTTTGCTCCGCAGCAGCGACTAGTGTCGATATTCATTGATTGAAAGCTATTTTCCCCGCATTCAACATGTCTTCGGTTCACACCAGCAGCCGTGGACAGTCTGAATAAGGTAGGCCCGAGTGACAGCCATGATCATTATTGTCCTCTTGAATGGCATTATTGGGATATGGTAATTTTGAGTAGCCTTTGAGAATTTGCGAATTGAACACGTTCAGCATGAAATGGTGTCAACACTGAACTGGGCATATGATATTCAGTAATAGTACAACAGTATTATACGAGCTGAGCCTGTTACAGAAGCGCTCATGCCTGGGATTTCAATGTGAAGTTTCAGGTGAAATTGCTTGAAAGAATTTCAAAAATCAAGATTTTATACAATTCATGAAAGAGGCATTAGAAATTTATACAATATATACATGGTTTGACGTGCCTTTGTCATTTGTACAAGTACCTGTCAACACTCACAGTGTATCAGGCACACAGTTCACACATTTACCATCAGGATGCACAGCTTCCAAACATGCAGTGTGCAGTGATGCAAAACAGTCGGCACAGTTGTCGTTGCAGCCTTCACCGCAGATCAAACATGTCTGAGGATAAGTAGGAGTTGGCTGTGCTGCCAGTGCTGCTGTTGCTACTGTTACTGCTGTTGCTGCTTCTGCCTCTGCTGCTGATGATGATGTATGTGCACTGGAGGTACTGCTCCTGCGTTGCTCTCGTTGCCTCCTGTTGGCCTCCTTGGCATCTTCTTTCTTTTGTCTTTCTTCTTCAACTCGCTGCAGGGCTGTGAAGAACTCGTCGCTTGTCAAGGTACGAGCCTGGCTCGCTGCAGATGGAAGGCGTCTCGGTGTCACAGCTGGAGTCATGAAAATTGATGCAGTGCTGGGACCCGGCAGTAACCAAGCTGGTCGCCAGTTGCATTTCAACGAATCCCGTGTCCTGTGCTGGTGCTGCTCTAGCTGCTTTCCACATGTCGTATCGTGCATCCGGCACATCGTATCCCTCAGCTAGGCGCCTCTGGAACAGTGTTTCCTCTTCTGGGCTGAGTGGTTCCATACCTGATTCAGCGCGATGAAGTTCAGATGGTGCGAGGACATGCTGAGGAATAACCCTTCGGTCCGTAGGCCGGTATACCCCCCCCCCCCCCGTTACTTTAAAACTTGCCGCCATGATGTTGGCGGGGGTGACGTATTTCGTGAATGTGTCAGCAAATATCGGCAGAAAGTCTGACAGGGCGAGACTATGGCTGGGCTTTAACAAGCGGGCAGCTGCACTGGTGCTCTGGTGGTGTGCTCCCATTGCACTGAAGACAGTCTTGTCGAGTGGCTGCAGGATGTGGGTAGTCTTGGATGGAAGCGCAATGAAAACAACATTAGACTTCCTCGCCAGCTCGAGTATCTCCACGCTAGTGTGGGAGGAATGATTGTCCATCAGTATCAACTGGGTCTTCTCCCGGGATGTTGACGCCAAGAAGAGATCCTTGAACCAGCTCTGAAAAAGCTCTCTGTCCATGGACCCAGTCTTGGATGTGCAGTAAATTGCACCTGGTGGTCCATTCTCCACCAGGCGTGTGGTAAGCTGCGCACGGTTGTAGATAAACTGAGGGGGCAGATGGCTACATGTTAGTACTGCTGGCTTCAGTATATTGCATCCAGCGGTATCTGTCCTGAGGTAATAAGGTAATAAGCAGTTGAAATTCGACCTAGAAACCCAATTGGCCGTTATGCGGCGTGTCTCTATGTCTAATGTAGAGGCACGCCTGTGCTGTCTCTTGTATACACCCAGTTCTAGGAAAGTAAAAGACAATCACAGGCCCGGAGCCAGCTCCTGGGGGGGGGGGGGGGGGGGGTACGGCCCCAGGTCGGCTACAGGACCGACTATTTCTACATGCCTAATTTCAAAATCCTAGGAGGATGCATCTCTACCTCTATGCATTGTCTGTTTGTTTCGGCTGCACACTTCCTCTAGCAACAGATCATGTCAGCTAGCACAGTAGACTCCTCTGGACAGGAAGAACAGTTGAGGAGGTAGAGACTCTAGACTAGGAAGGAGTGTATGAGGCTTATTACTGGTGCTTGCAGATAATCAAGTGCGCACTGAGCAGCCCGTGAACGCTGGAGTTGGTGAAAACTGGTACGGCCATGGCCGCACCAGCCGTACCAGTGGCGCCGGCCCTGAAACATCAAGGTACATTGGGTGCGGTTTAAAATGTTAGTGCTCTGAGGATTCGCCTTGAGGTAGGTCTTTGTCCAGAATTACCCTTTCTTATTCTTGCCTAGAAGTGACCAACGTTACCAATGGCGACAAAGGAAAGCATGGACCTGGCTTTGGTTGGTTATGAGGAGCTGATCAAGATGGGCGAACAGATGTCTGTGGACAAAGCTTCGAACCTCTTCTGGCCGGATCTGGTGAGCGAGCTGACGAAGCAAGGAGTGGACGTGCTGGCGCAAATGAGTTCGGTGCTTACATCGGAGCTTCAACTTGCAATCGTAAGCCTTACCGAGTCAATTAGTAGTATATCCCAGGAAATTGTCTCCTTGAGACAGGATAGAGCCGATAAAATCCTGAGTCTGGAATTAGAAGTACACCAACTCAGGCGGGAAGTTCTGGGGCTCCATCAACCGAAAACTCATGCACAACCTGTCGAACAAGAAGCAAAGCCAACTTGGGGGGGGGGGGGGGGGGCAAGGCCGATTCAAGCAAGCTGACATATGGTGTCGGTGAACTGGGGCATGTTTGGGGTCAGCACCTGAAGACTGCGATCGCCATCACAAGTTGTGTAGACCATGGATCAAGAATAACTTCCAAATCCGCGGTCCAACCACTGATCGTTTAGTGTACTATGATCTCATGTTGTCTCCCTGTACGCTACACCTCCCTGGTGTGCATATACTGATGATATGCGAATAGAAGCATCTGGGAACTAGCGCTCAGACAACTCCGCACAAAGTTGATAGCCCGGTGTGGCTTATCCAGTTATCAACCACGATATCAGACAAGCTTGAGGATTGCCAACGAAACGAAAGTTTAAAATATTCTATTTTTCTTGCCTCGTGATCACTCCTCTGCACGACTTTACGATCTCGCTCATGTTTGGCCCCTTTCTATTCGACGCAGTCTCCACGGCAACTTGCCACATGCTGATTCAACAAAATAAAACCTAAAGAGGTCTCAAGGCATCTTTTGCCCTACGACTGGTTTGTGCGGAGCCGATCAGCAAGGGCACAAGTCTCGCTACCTGCAACTCGTACTGTCCAGAGATGGGCACACTAGCTACATGTGTGTTCAGCGATCGAACTCTTTGAACTTCTACAATTGTACCGTAGTTCCGCACATATAAGCGGGTTAAGCGCATGGACTTATGTCTGGACATAAGCGCACCAATAAAGGTGCCAAAAAAGGTTGATTTGCGAAAAGGATCTGTTGGATCCGACAACCCTGCTCCCCGAGGTGGGTTGACCGGATTCAAATCCGTTGGATCCGAATCCGGATTCGACCAATCGAAAGGGTTAAAAAAATTCAAATCCATTGGATCCGGTTGATCCAGATCCTACCAATCGAACATGCCCTATAAAGTCTCTGCCTGAAAAACAAACAAAAGACAAAACCAATGATTCCGAAGGTGTATAGAACGTATAGAATGTATACAGTAATTCCTGACAATACCTTATCACCAAGACCCAGCTGTCGCCGGCGTGGCGACATGTCGAAAATGGCGCAGTGACATGCGTCCCACAGACGCTGGACTTCATCCTTGTCCTGGGCAAACGCCTTACTCTTCGAGATTATAAGCCAGAATTTATCCTGAAATAAAATAGCAGCAGGAAACACATATCAATGATCGAACTCAAGAGGATGTAGTAGAAGCAACACGCCGGCACGGGGGTCTTATTCGAGTGCTAATACATGCACCGCGCCTCATCAGTAATGGCATACATCCCGTACTTGATTATCGATCTAATTGCTGGAAATAAACTACAATGTGAGAACGTGATGGGCACATGTTCACATGCACACAGCACTGAGCACTCAGAACTATTCACTCAAAACTCAACCAGTCAGCGATGGCTAAGGCGGCGCCAACCATGCACACGCACATGCTACCAGCAAGTCCAGCAAAGCACCTTCTCTTGTCTCTTGACATATGTCGTATGCTACTGTTTCGTTTTATATGCAATTTATAGAAGTTTTATTATTCCTTCAAGCACACTCAGAAAGAAGTCAGAAATACCTCTGTTATGTCCGGCACGATCTTGGAGTCGCCAAATGACTTGTAGTTACCCATGTTACTGAAGAACACAGCTGCATATTCAAGAAACAGCTGCAATAACAAGAACGGCAAAAAAAGTTACTATAATAGTAAATTGTATTATAAGTATTCTCGGTATACTCAGTGTGTGTGTGCGTAAAACTCCAAATTTGGACGTGAGCAGCAGGTCACTCGCGTTGATTTTTCGACGTGCGAGCCAAATAACGCGAGCTGAACTTTCGCGTCACGTCAGAAATAACGTGCATCTTAACCTCTCTATTACGCACATCTGCTCCAACTTCAAAAACACACACTTCACCATACACTCTAAGAAGTTACTGTAATTTCCGGTGTACTTTTATTTTCGGTACAGGTGGAATCCTGATAATTCGAATATGGCTTAATTCGAACATACCGCTTAATTAGAAGTTTTTCCAGGACCGATTTCTATCAATACGAGTCCCGCATAAAAAATTCTGATAATTCGAACCTCGAACTGGATATGTCCGGTTAATTCGAAGTCCCACAGATTCCACTTACATAGAAAATGTGTGGGATTTGTGCTGATAATTCGAAGTTAGCAAATTGTAATTCGAAGTTCACTGTACATTGTACTGGTCAGTTCAGTTTGCATGAGCAGACTGTGCCGGTCAGTTCAGTATCCGCGAAATCTGTGTCTAAGGTCCATAGCGCAACTCTGCGTGACCATGAGAGCATTTTGACATACATATTGTGTTGTGGGTTCATGTTTGGATAATTCGTAGGGCTGAAATGATCGTGGATTTTCACGTATCGATTACCGATTATAATCGTTAGCAAATAGTGTCATAATTCTGTGCAAACATTACTCTGTTTCCACAAACTATGCCTTCATAATACCAACAAATCTGCATTAGTGAAAGGGTAGCTCCGAAACATGGCAGTTTTGAAGTCAATTTAACCTCAGAACATGAACCATACCCCTGGCACCTGCATACTCCCAGCGGAAACTGATTCAAACTTCGCAAAACGAGAGTTCACAGAACTTTCTGGACACAAATTTAAAAAATGCAAAATAATCGTAATCGGTAATCTAAACGATTGCTCGATCGAGTTATCAAACGAGTACCGTATTTTCCGGGGTATAAGCCGCACTTTTTTCGCTAAAAATCGGACCAAAATCGCCCCTGCGGCTTATACACCGAATATGCTTGCGCGAATGAATGCTTAGCATACATCAGTATGCATGCTGACGTCATGTGACATGTCATTCGACTCAGCTTCGCGCCTGTGTTGCTGATCAACATCAATGGCAGCGAGATTGAAGATAGTGCAGATGACATGGAGTGATCTGTAGTCAACACAGCAATACACCAACATCTCTGCAGCAACCTGTGGTGCACTAACACTTCATAATCTGATCTAACATGGTATTTAGCTCCATAACCATAATAAATTTGTAGAAAGGCCATTTGTCAATGAGTGTGAAAAATCTTGGTTTGTGGGTGCGGCTTATACTCCGAATACCAACTTTTAGTCAATATTTTGCCTCAAAAAGGGGGGTGCGGCTTATACCCCGGTGCGGCTTATACCCCGGAAAATACGGTACTCGATTATTCGGTATAATCGTTTCAGCCCTAATAATTAGAATGTCCGGATAATTAGAAGTTTTTTCCTGGCATTTTGAGGTTCGAATTATCAGGATTCCACCTGTACTTTCGGTGCGTCTGTTTCATACCTAAAATTTTCAATACACCGAACAAACACTAACACACGTAATCCAATAGGGAACTGCTTCTCTGCACCTAAATTTTCTGTTCACCTAACCTGGCCTTTTGCCCTCATACCGAAAATATTGAGCACCTAAAATTTCTGAAATTAGAGGACTCTCTCCATATGAACTCTAGGACCAAACAGTATTACCACAAAAGCCCGTAGTAAGGCCCTGGGCAGAAACATTACTGAAGGTCCAGAACATGGACGTCAATTTGGGCCTGGGCGGAACCGATCCAGTTGATCAGGCCATGGCCGGACCAACTTTTTGCCCACCGACGTGTGTTTACTGCTGGTTTGGTCGTGTGTACCCACTAGGTCATACACAAAGTATGAAAGGCTGGGGTATGACCAGACCAATCAAAAACTAAGTCCGCCGGTCCTCTGTACAGGCAGTGAACATCTCGCGGAGTAGGCAAGATACGAGGTCGCTCACGCGTGACCTACGCCTCTTGGCCGCTCACATGTACATGATCACTTGGTCACGCGGTATATGAGAACAACGCTCGCCCACCTGTACATGCACACACACACACGTGTGCATGCGAGCACGTAAGCACTAAAGGGTGCGGGAACCTGGAAAAAAGTTCACGGTTCGCGTTATACTCGGTTAGACTGAGCTTTCCGCATCCGTAGGAATGCCACCACCCTCATAGGACCATAGCATGTATATCAGCCCCCTTTATATACAGCCAATCCCTGATCTGATCTTCGTCCCAATCAAGCCTCCTCCACACTCCTCTAAGCCGAAATACACACATACATTGCACAAAGCCTTTTCAGGCACAAATAATTCAGTGTCACCTCATAACAAGAAAGCCATTGACTCAATGGTAGGCCAATCAAATACCAAAAGCTGAGCTGCAATGGTCAAGAAAATCTCCAGTTCTTTTCAATTATAAATCACCTCCTGCCACATAATTATGTAACCACACGCTTAATTTATTACAATCATGTAGATCTACCTCAAAATCTCCAGTGGAAACTCCATCATCACCTTCTGTACACGACGCTTTCAGGCTTGCCTGGCTCTCAACGGAAAACAATTTCCTCAACAAGACAAAAACTAGTGGTGACTCGGGGGACGTCTGAAGTAGCACGATCAAGCCGCCATTGAAGCTTGCCTCGGCAACGTAATGCGCGTATAGTTTTTCTGAATCATGGAGCAACTCGAACGCTTGAGAGCAGTCCAGCACGCTCACAGGTGTTGGTATATGGGCACTCATCTTTCCACTTCCAGAAAACTACTTGAACAGCAAAGGGCTAGGGAACTATCTGTTTGCAGATGCACAGTGTTTGCCTTTTGTTCAGTTTTCAAACATTTTTGAATTCACAATCACATGCACAATCATTGTCAATCTCTCTGCAGATCTGCAGGGAAATCCCCTGAGCAAGCTGTACAAATCAAGACAAGATTCAAAGACAAAGGTCACAGCGTCAGTACAGCCTGGTGTTCTATGGTGCAGATGTTCTGACTTTGACTTTTTGTTTGAGTTTGACCATTCCCCAGGCTTTGGAGTATCGAGATTTTGTTTGGAGCGGACTAACTGCGATCCTGGACTTTTGTACACGCTGTATTCTAATCTGCAACGTCACCCAGTGCTGTAGTATTACACACACGTGGATGACGAGGGCGTTGGTCAGCGCTGGATGGTTTTCTTATGAAAATTTCTTCTGAGGAGGCGGTGAAAGCAGGTGGTTGGTCAGACATACGTGATTTATTTTACGTCGGTGGGGCACGGTACGTCTGTAGATATGGACTAAAAAAAAGAAAAGTCAGTGTATAAACACAGTAGCAGTCAGTCACACTATCAGTATTACAACTCTACAGTACATGAGTGCATTTCAAAAGTCCAGACCTCAGACTTTTTCAAAAAATTCAAATTTGGTTTGAAAGAAGAGAAATTTTTGGGATATTGGCTGTTGCTCATGCTCAGACAGTTCCCCAAAAATTTCTCATAGATATCTGAGTGATTGGATAACAAACGCCCAGTTTCGGAAATTTCATGCACAAAGTGATCACAGATTTGATGTGGTATAGATGCTGGCCGTATGGCCTTTTGAAACCAGAGGTCTATACTTTTGAAACACACTGTAGCTCTCTCCTGAGGCTGCCCAGCTTAGTATTCCTCTTCTCATTCTGGCATTAAGTTTGCACCCTGCACCATTTCGCAGCCCAGTGTTCACAGGTCTAGGGCTGCGTAGCACCCGGCACGAACTTGAGTGACACGACTGGATTTCATTGAGCAGCACTGTATTTACAAGTTAACCCTTATCCTCCTACTGAAATGAAATTTCAGGGCCCGTAGAATTTAGGGTGCCAAGTCGAATGGTCTGACTAGGCTGCGATTCATCATTCGTCACATATTCCTGTCGACTTCACCCTCACAATGGACTACTTTTCAGTGAGGATGTAACCGATACTGGCCAGATACACACACATATACCGGTATTTTGATTGCAGCAATGGCCGATTTCGGAGGCCATTCAATTGGAAAGCGACGTGTTGCAGTGCTCTTGGGCCGAGATCATTCAGCTCGGCACCCCGCACAGTACAGTACTACAACCATGTTCTGGAAACTCTCTGTAGAATGTGAAACAATGTGACCTTCCTTCTTGGGCTGCGTTCTAGTCACCCCTGGGGCAGGGCCGATTTAGGCACTCTCGCACATGGCTTCCCTGGCCTGGGGCGCAGTTAGGGCCAGCAGATCACAGCTGCCAGTGTGGTTACGTAGACCACAGATCACAGGCTAATTCCAAATCCAAGGTTGAACTGCACATCGTGTTGAGTACTACAGTCTTGTGTCGTCTCCATAGATACTACAACTCCCTGCTCACCATGTACCGTAATACTCCTGCCACTACAGGACACGTATATGTACCAGTAATTGAACTAACTTGAAGACTACACTCACCGATTTGTGTTCTATTTCAATTATAGGTCCTGAGCACGAAAACCAAGACAGTGACCATTCAAGCATGTGGAAAGCCGCTCGAAACACCGTGCGCTTGACGTGCTCTGCGTGCCGGTCTGTTGCTCATGCCAGCTGCCAGGCTCGTGTTAGTGCTCCGCGTGTCATCAGCTCTGCTACACCATGTCCAACGGGATGCAGGGCTCTATCCTCTTCATCGACTTCTAGCACTGCTGTGACGTCGACAAGTAGCGACGGGCGGTTTCTGACGGTTGCGTGGCAAGCGGGCGGGGAAAGTCGCTATCCGTTCATCTACTTACGAGACAACTGCACTTGTTCGGAATGTTTTCACGAGCTCTCCAGTATGAGGACGGTGGAAATAATGGCCGACGGTATTGATGCTGACATAAGCCCGTCTGGTGTTGAGGTAAATCTCACTTGTTATTTTCAGTTTTATCACACCTTTATTGCCAACCTTTGGTCTAAACAGTGGAACCGGATCATAAGAGACACACTTTTGCTTCAGAAGAGCTACAGTGTAGTGTTCCTGGCTCTGTTGGACACATCACTGTCTATTCGCTGTGTATGTAGCACATTTGTGGCTAAGAACTTCCACTGTGACAAACAAATTCATCTGTCTCTTGGTGTTTGTCCTGAAGAGGCTAGACTGTACATGTACATAGTTATACTTTGAAGTGCATTGCAGAAAGCAAATTCTGAGTTGACGTGCGTGCATTTGTGTTAGATACATGTGCATTGTTTTTCTTGTTCACCCTGAGGACGGGCCATGCCCTAATGGCAAAGTTTGGTGTGTGTCAAGCATTGAGAGAGTCTTCGACTGGGAAGAGACCATACCTAAGTAGTGTCACTGTGTGCATTGTACTCCTTCCTTTCAGAGCACTGCTACTGGGGTGAGAATCACCTGGCCCAATGGCCACGTTAGTGACTTTACCAATGCCTGGCTACGTGAGCATACGCTGAGCACCCAGCCCAAGGACCATGGGCTTGGCAGGTTCCAGCGGCCTGCTGCTCAGCCTTGGTTGGCGAGCACGTTTTCACCTCCGGTCTTTGGACTTGATGCGATGATGAGCAATGAGAATGTGCAGTATGATATACTGGATAACCTGTACAAATCTGGCATTGTGGTGGTTAAAGGATGCGGCACTGAGCCTATGCCGAATGAAGTTTACGAGAAACTGGGCATGCTGCAAGACACGGCTTTTGGGTAAGTTGTCCGAGAATCAATCAACCACTTCTTTTAGCTTTCCTGAGCCTTGTCAAGTATTGGGAGTAAGTGGTGCCGTGAACAAGTTCTAGAGACAATATTGTTGCCTGGTCTTTCCTCTCTCCTTCATCTCTCCTCCTCCTCCCCCCCCCCCCCCCTCATTCTTTCTCTCTCTCTCTCAGGCATAAAAATCTGTTGTAGATGCCTCAGTCCTCAATACTCGCTTGTCTTTACGAACTGAGATGTTGCGACTTTGGCGGTAATTGTAGAAGAAGGTGGCTGCTCTCCAAGTTTTGGACCTCGTGCTTCCTGCGGACTGACTGACACTTGACTAACTCACGACTGCCATCTGGAGCACACGAAAGAATGCCAGAGCGTCTCGGTAAGTTTGTATTCCTGGTGGTGTTTGTATCTGGAAAGCACTATATAAGTGGTGCTCTTCAGGCACAATCTTCCTCAGGCTTCTGAAGCTCAACTGATGAGGGGTGAATTGCCCGAAACACTGTGTATTGAGCAAGGAGTGGTGCTTTCTTGCAGTTTTGCAGAGTGGACGGCCCGGCATTCTTCTCATGTGCTCCTGATGGCAGTCGTGAGTCAGTCAAGCATCAGTCAGTTGAGCACGAGCTCCAACATTTGGAGCAGCCACCTTCTTTTACTTGTCTTTATAACTGTTAAGTGCTCTCTCTCTCTCTCTCTTTCTCTCTCTCTCTCTCTCTCCATATATCTATCTTTCTTTCTTTCACACAAAAGGCTCAAGGGAGGCTTACAGATTTATCGCAACTCAGGAGTTTCTTGCACAATGCAGTCATCGGGCGACGTATGCCATGTTCAGTGGGACTTGGCCAATGTACAGCATAGTTTGGTGATAGCTAGTGGGTATTGATTCAGCACAGAAATATTGCCATGATGGCCGTGTGGATGGTCACTTGGGCAAGGGAGCTATTAGCGCAGAAAGTGTAGATTGTTAGTGAATGTAGAAGTGGAAGGTGTGAATTTGTAAACAGTAGCCAGGGTGTGAAGGTAGTCCTTCCTACAGAACTGTTTTTAAAAGTATTTTGGTGATGCTGAGAGCTCTAGGCTCACGCGGGTGTACGCGCTTCAAATCATGTCACAGCATGTTGCTTTTGCAAGTGCATGCAAGTGTTTATGTGCATGTACATGATTGTATGTGTGCATGCATAGTGTGCATGTGCGTGCATTGGGGTGGCTGCACACCTGTGATTATGTCACGGCTGCACTGAGGTTCTTGAGTAGGAATTTGTTGGTGTGTCGACATTTAGATACAAGCTCACTCCTCTTGATCTATCTTTCTTTATATTTCTACTAGGATCCGCAAAGCCCTTCAAAAATACCCTTAACTGTACCAAAAGATTTCCCTGCAAAGAATACCGGTACATGTATACTGGAACCTAAATCTTTTGAAAATATATCGTTATATACCTGAATTATCTTTAAAAAATCTGTAGGTGCACATGACGTCGTATTCATATGTGGTGACAGTGTGCCAGACCAGGGTATCCCGTGCACTTTCCGTACCATCAAACACATGCCGTCGAGGACACTAGAACATCTGACGGCTCCATTACGTTGTCTGTACCCCTTGCATGTCCCATACCACCAAGTGCAACTCTTGAAAGAAGTTCGAATAACTTACAGGTACATGACTAGCATAGCGAGGGCCCAAAGCAGAAACTCACTTGTCCGTGTGTGTGTGTGTGTACCCGGTATCAGTGCGGGCGTTGTTCACAAATATCACATGGCCGACTGAGCATGTGGTCCGTTTATTGTGCGCAGGTTACGTGTGAGCAGCCGCTCGCGTTCCCTACTTATATTATAGTGAAGGATTTTCACCATGCACACAGTGCACACCATTGGACCTTTGGACGCCCATCGCCGGAGGCGATGATAGCGATGCTACAGCAGAAGCCATAGCAGCTTGTGCTGGGATTGCACCATTCAACAGCTTGCAAGGCTGAAGAATTGACCACCACTATTCAGCCTGGTCTACACCACACAGCTATGAAGTGGCTTTTTCTGGCCAGTGAATCGTGTGTCCCATATGGTGCAGAAACCTTAGGGCCGGGTTCCACTGCGGCTCCGCTGCTCCGCTGCTCGTCTTTCGCGGCTTGAAACGTCATCATTACCATAGTGACCGCGGCTCGAGCTGGAGCAGCGAGTCCGCGGCTCACCGCGAGCTTTTGCTACGATTCTTGACCAAAAACTGCGAGCCGCGGTCGCGGCTTGACCTGTTTCCCGTACTTTGCATTGTTTTGTACGCCAGAATTTTAAAATTCAAATTTTAATTCGTTGCGCAGGCCAGAACACGAGGATTTGTTTGATTTCGCGCGCGCAGGCAGGTGAAACGTCATCAAAAAGTGTGGACCACGACCGCGGTACCCTCATGTGCGAGTGACAGTGGAACCGCGCTGCTCCGCTGCATGCAGCCAAGTGCCGCGGAGCAGCGGAGCCGCGGAGCCGCAGTGGAACCCGGCCCTTACCCCCTACTGTGCTGTTTCCCCTAATGTGCTGTTTTATTTGTATCCCATGGGAAATGGCGACATATTGTGTGGGCGATTCCTGACGTGTGCGTTTATGTATCTTATCCTGTTCTTTGCTGTCACCTTGCAGCTTGTTTTGGTTGGTCGAGGCACGAGCGGATCCAAACAACTTGGCCTACTCACCAAAGGCCTTCCCGCTGCATACAGACCTCCCGTATCTCAAAAATACCCCTGGGGTAAGCACTTGGCTCCTTTTTTTCTTTTCTTTTTTTAGATCGGGAGCTTGTGAGTGGAAAAGTCAGTGCTCAGCAGCATGGCAATCGGGGCTTTTTCATCAGCTGTGCTTCTTCGGCTTTAGTGTGCTTGCACTTTAGCACTTCTTTAGTATGGGAAGCAAGTAGATCGGAGAGGCAGCCATTGCTACAGCTTATCACAGGGGAAATGCACACTGCAAACTCATGTGAGCGCATCCATTGCATTTACAGAATACTGCACTTGCTGTACCATGGAAGTCTGAACAGTTTGTTCCAACAAGCCGTTCTGACTTGTGGGTTAAAAAGGTTCTCCCCGCGCCAGTACGGAGCCGGAGCACTGTGTGAGTGGTGGAAGTCGCTAACTCTACATGTACTGTAAAGTACCGTTGATCCCCCCCACACACACACACGCCGTGTCGCTTCCTACCTGGTTTTGCGGCAGAGGGGTGGGAATTAGATCAAGTCAGTCAAGCACAGCACGTGTTGTGTCTCTAACCGAGAGATCGTGGGTACACACATTATGACATAGAACTCACATGCAAGTTTATTCTACGATTGCAAAGCAAGAAGAACGTTGAGGTATGATTGTGCTGGAGGATATCGAAGTTGTATCCCAGGTGCGGGGGTGCGCCGGGTGTTGGGTGGCAGTACGATGAATCGCTATAGAGTGTTCATGTCTAAGACGTTGTGGTTTTGAGGTGGATCAATAGTACTTGCAACTACTTCGAAGTAAGTAGATGAATACGTGTCTGGTACTAGTACATACATCACAGTACTATGTACAACAAAGCAGAAGATCAGACTTGGCATGCTGGACTGTGCACATTCTCATTCTCTTGATGGTGTGTTTCTTCTGTTCAGACACTTCTTCTGCACTGCTTGCGGCAGGCTCCAACCGGTGGCCACACATTCCTTACTGACGGATTTGCTGTTGCAGCCAAGCTACGAGAGGAGAATCCACTTTGGTATGATCTCTTTTCCCGAGTACCTGTCACCTGGCATCAGCTGGGCTATGACCCGACCAGTGATCGGCATTATCACTACGAGTTTGCTCAGCCGATATTAAAGTGAGTCCACTGTCCTGTGCTGGTTTGCACCATGGTGAATACAGAATTCTGTCTGCAATGTCTCTCTCTCTCTCTCTCTCTCTCTCTCTCTCTCTCTCTCTCTCTCTCTCTCTCTTCCTCCCTCCCTGCCTCCCTCTCTCTCTCTCTCTCTCTCTCTCTCTCTCTCTCTCTCTCTCTCTCTCTCTCTCTCTCTCTCTCTCTCTCTCTCTCTCTCTCTCCCTGAGTTGACTCTGAGTTGACTCTGAGTTGCACACACAAGTACATGTAGTAGGTGATCCCCAGACAACACTCAACTAATACTTGCAATGATTTCTTGGGCATCAACAAGCAAATCCAAGCAAACATGGATGCAGTGAATGGGATTTTCGGTCTTTGACCACTTGCTGGTGAGCTGATCTACTCACCTCCCACCGCTTTAGGAGCTGCATCTGCGCCTTGATCCTTGAAGGGTGGTGGCGTTCCTACGGATGCGGAAAACTTGGTTTCCAGCTGAGTCTCACGCGAACCGTGAAAAACCCAAGCAAATTTTGAAATTTTCTCTCACTTGGCTGCTGGTGTTTTCATTCAGCAGTATTCCATTTTGCTGTTGCTGCTGCTGCTGTCAACCTTCATGTCTCCTGGGTATTGCCCATTGCCAGTGCTGCTCTTGTTTCTATGGTATATGCAAGCCTTGCTTGATGGGTTAACATGTTTTTGCTTCTCTGCCCGTACTGTGTTTCCACCTCGCAGTGTTGACAGACATGGAGAGTTGTACAAGGTCTGCTTTAGTGTAGCTGCCCGCGGTAGCTTTCTATCCATAAAGGAGGACGATGTGCATGACTTCTACCATGGCTACCTTCGCTGGATGCAATTGTGCAAGAGCCCAGAGCATCGATACGAAGTCCGCTTGGAGCCGGGCGACATGCTGATCATTAATGATCAACGCATAGCACATGGCCGTGATGCCATCAGTGACACACGTGAGAAAGGTCGGTGTTTGCGAGGCTGCTATCTGTCCTGGGACGATGTGGACTCTCGGTTTCGCCACCTCTATTACAAATTGAAGAAAGCATGAGAAGGCACTCGTCATACGTGATTGTCTAGCTACTCAGAAATGGACCTTGCCATGCGGATTTAGAATTGTACAAGCAGCTGGTCCACATGTCCTTCCCTTGAAGGGTTGTCATTTGGATGGTGAATTCTAATACTAGTACATGTACTCATTTTCTCTTATACCCTGTCGATTTCTGTATTGCCCCACTCATAGTTTGCGGAAATAATTTCTTACCCTTTAGATTCTGGCGATTCGTGACTGCCATCCGGAGCACATGAGGGACATGCCTGATTGTCGAAGTTTCCACTTGACAAACCAAGAAAGCACCGGTCCCTATGTGAGTCAGTCAAGTGCCAAATTCGCCAGGAAGCATAAGCTCCACACAGGAGCTGCCAGCTTTGGTCTACTATCTTATCGACATGTCATCAGTACGAGCATAATGATTATGACTTGGGATTGTGTGAACATGAAGATATCTTTCCTCGGTCATATTTGCAGGTTGCTCCCCGCATGTGAACTTGTAGTGATTTTTTCTCACAGTAGAGATTAGGGACTTCATAGGAATGTTGGGGGTTCTCCTCCGCCGACCTTACGAGCCCTCTTGTAATCAACTAGGCCATGTGTAGACTTGCACGTGCGGATACAGTGTACACAGTCTATGCACCATCTCTTAATTAAACAATTGTTTGTCATGCTGCTTGTTTACGCACTGGCAAGCATGTATTGTATTTGTATTTTGACTATTTTCACTTGGTATCAATTGAGTTCCATATCGTATTCCAACTACAACGCGGTAGCATAATGTGTTTGAGTCAATGGAGATGGGTGATTTTTTCTCCACTTTGGAACGTGGAGAGTTCCGACTTATTGATGCAATATGATTGGACTACCCTCAAGTTCAGACAATGCCACCTTTCGGGTCCCCATGTTACCATAAAAGGACAATCCCAGTGTGAGCATCACAACGAGGAAGTCTGTACATAGCCAATTGTTGTGTGCTACATTATTATTTCAGTACTTCTACAGTACGCTTGGCATGATGGCAAGAGCCGCAGCTGTCCTGCACACTGCCCACGCACATTTCAAATCTGCGGGAAGAGCTAAACCCCGTGATCACGCTAGTTTTTCGGCAACAAATTCGCCACCACCTAACTATACACTGATACCAGTGTTTTCCGTGTATTCAAGCAAGTAAAGGCAGATCATGCCTTTGAGAAAGCTGAGTGACAATGTTAGGAGAGACAAAGCTTGGGTAAAGTGGAAAGCAGATACTGCACCAGCAAGCATCACATAGTTTACAAAGTAGCCCATTCGGATGACCAGTCTGAGCCACTCCCAGTGGCTTCTCCAGTGGCTTCTCCACTGACACCTCCACTGACATCACTACTGTCAGGGGAGTTAGCACGAATTAGTGCTGCTTGCCTTTCCATAGCCAGGTCAGCGTTCACCAAATCAGACGGCATAGATATCAAGGTCTCCGCTGGAAAAAGCTTCGGTGATAGGTCAAGATCTAGCACGGAGAATAAGTATGCCAGCTTGGCATGATTACTCGCTGACAACGTACCAGTAGACAACTCAAATTGGCTCTGCAGGCGTTGACCCAACTTCCGCACGACCGGGTGGCTGCGCAACTGAAGCAGACATTGACTCCTTGCTAAAATGTCCTCACAGGAACAGTCCAAGTCAGGCTGCTCACATAGCTCTGAGATGCGCTGCAGTAATGCACTTACACGTTCCCTGAACTCACTCGGGCTAACAGAACCCCTTTCAAACGTGGACAGTGCACGCTCCAACAGAGACAATGAAGCAGCAAGAGACAGATCAGAGGCATTCAGAACGATCGACCTCCAAACCATGCTTTCTGACTCAAAGGAGATCGAGACTTCCAAAAGAGTACAACAAGAGCCGGTACTTAGGCCCTTGGCAATGTCTTCTGTGAGGCCGCGGGCAGCCAATTGACCGAACGAGACGGAAACCCTGCATAAACCCGCCAGCGACTCGCGCAGCTGTATTTGACTGTCGGTCTGCACAGCCTCAGCTATGCACTGCTCGGCCCGCGCCAACAAGTGCTTTGCAATCCATGGGTCAACAATGCTATCAAGAGCATGCAACAAATGCAGCATCTTTATCAAATCTGGCAAGGACGGGTTGGCCTGTAAAGCGGTCTTCCCAAAGACGGTTCTGATCGCAGACTGCCGGAGGGCCTTCTTCTCCTTGAAGTGGCACAGATACATCAGCAGCATCAGGCAGACGTTATGCAGTTCGTTGCCCAGACTCTCTGCAAAATCCAAAGATTCCAGCAACCGCACGGTGTTGTATACAAGGATAGGAATAAGCTTGTGGCGCTTCACCAAGTGTTCACACTCGGGCCTTTCTTGCAGTGCTTGCAGCACAGCTAGCTGGTCATGTGCCAGAACTCGGCATGCCTTAATTTTCCCAGAAAACTCCTCGTTCAGCATACAGTCTAGGAAAACTTCCAACACAACTGGATGCGTCGACAGCAAATCCGTCTGTCGCAGGCCACAGACAGACCGCCAGCTATTCACAACCAAGTTATTCTTGTCCCGGAACAATCGGGCTGCTCCACGCTTAGACAAATCTCCGGCATCCACAGCTTGGCTACAATTCTCCAGTAGATCACGTAGTGTTCGTGACTTCTGGAGGTCAGTGTTACTAGTAATCGACTGGGATGCGGCATAGCGCACCTGCTGACTATACAGATTCGTCTTAAACCTTGCACAGTGATGGCACCTGGAGCTCTCGACATCTGTGAGTACTCTGCAACTTGGCAATGAAGAGGAAGTCGCCACTACACTCCATAGCTGACTGCTATACCTTCCAGCTTGACGTATTCGACTCATCAGCAGCCAGCTGTCCTTGTTTGATCCAAGGAGCGACCGGGGTCAGACCCTCACCTCGTTCAAGTATGTAGAGGGATAAAACAAAGTTGCATTACATCCCCACGTTTATTTTGGGCTCATACATCACTCCAGAATGAGATTTCACACTACTTGATCAGCGACAAGACCACCTCTTTCTACAGAATCTGCACAAACCAATGCAAGATGTATTCTAGAGCCGAAGCTTGTAGTAGTCCTGGGAAAGTTTGTTTTTGAGACCAACATTGGCAACAGCAACTGCAAATAAATTTCAAGGAGTCAACATTCAAAAATGTCCAAAAACACTTTCGTGCATGCAGTGCACGCCGCGGCCCGCAGCCGGCGCGGCGTCTTCTTCTTCTATTTTTCAAGATCAACTCGTACTGCGGTTTCTTTTGGTGTAGATCAGGGAGTCGTCAAATACCGGTATTTGACGACTCCCTGGTGTAGATCTACGAGCGAATTTTTCCGCACATTTTTCAATGCTCCACTATCATGATTACACTTCGGAGCTTCGGCTTCGAATGTGACAGTGTGTTTGGCCTCAAATCGCTCTAGTTTTCCATAAATTTCCAGCGGTTTAAAGATAAAAATGCAAATGCACGCCTTGATTGCACCTAGCACCTCTTGCTTTCTTTGGGCCTTTTCTTTCGCTTCTTTGCTGATAGGTTACCTTTTTCCTTTGTCTAGTATCCTTGAGACTTCAGTCTTCTACTGCCGCTATGGCAGTGTCTATTGTCTAATGATGACTCCGAAGCTGAAGCTCGCAGTCCAAGCCTAGGACTAGTAAGAGTTCCTACCGGATCGTCGTGCTGTCCGTGTAGGTAAGTGCTGAAGTAACTAGTTAGTGCCGATATGGAAATTTCGGCCTTTTCGGCGGCCAATGCTGATGGCGACGCTGCGATGGTTCCGTGGGTTTGCAAACACCGACGAGTGCCTTGTTTCATGCCCCGAGTCACGATTTCCCTGTTGGGTCAGGGCGGCCTTCACGAGTTCGGCAGGCTCTTTCGAGTGCCTTGCCAAGGCTCTGCGCTTAGCGCGTAGCAACATCAACAGACGGCTTCCGTCACGTCATTGGGCAGGCCCTGACGAGTGCCTTGCCAATCTCTGTACCTACAAGTAACTGGTATCCAACCCCATCGATGGACGACGCGGACATGGCGGATATGCGGCGGCTGCTGTCACGGCAGTGGGCAGGCCCTGTCGCGTGTCTTGCCACACTCAAACCATCCGTCCACTGTTGATGGACGACGGTCTCACCAGTGGGCAGGCCCTGTCGCGTGCCTTGCCACACTCTAGCCATCCATCCACTGTCGATGGACGATGGTCACACCACTGGGCAGGCCCTGTCGTGTGCCTTGCCGCACTCTAACCATACGTCAACTGTCCATGGACGATAGTCTACAGTGAGCAGGCCCTGTCGCGTGCCTTGCCACACTCTAGCCATTCTAACCATCCATCCACTGCGGATGGACGATGGTCGAACCAGTGGGCAGGCCCTGTCGCGTGCCTTGCTACACTCTAACCATCCGTCCACTGTCGATGGACGATGGTCTCTACAGTGGGCAGGCCCTGTCGCGTGCCTTGCCGCACTCTAACCACTCTATCCATCCATCCACTATCCATGGACGATGGTCTCGTGGGTTTGCAAGCTCCAGCGAGTGCTTTGTTTCTTGCCCTGAGTCGTGCCTTCCTGGTGTGGTCAGGGCAATTTCATGAAAAGCAGGAGTGCCTTTCCAATGTCTGTGCCTAACTCGCATCCACCCATGTCGGTGGACTGTGCGGTCATTGTAGATATGGTGGCTTCCGTCACGCCAGTGGGCAGGCCCTGTCGGGGGCCTTGGCACACTCTAACCATTAGTCCATTGGTGATGAACGATGGTCTCGTGGCTTTGCAAGCACCGGCGAGTGTTTTCCAAGTTTGTTTCATGCCCAGTGTCACGCCCATAACTTAATGCCGTTCTGCCATGCTCATATTGTTGTTTCGCAAGTACAGTTCTACCTGTGTTTGCTTGCTCCTATACCAAGCAGAATTCCGTATTGACCGGGAAATGTTCCTGCATCAAAGGGCTGTGGATGGAACGTGCATCCCTGTGTCAAGCGGAATAATGTCATATCAGACCAGTTTCCGCTGCACCACGGGCGTCCGGTTAAGGCAGGTTTACCTGTATGTAGATACATGGTTCTGGAAGCATGATCACGATGTCAGAGGTGGCTGATGCACCTCTGTGAGCAATGAAAAATAAACATCAAATGGTTGCCATTTGTGCAGTGCCAACAATGTACTGCCACTCCTATTGCTCAAGCACCTTTTGTGATAGCAACCTCGAAGTGGTGAAGCATATACTGTATAACACCTTTATTTCGGTGTAATTTAAATTTCGGTAACTTCGGTACTGGTCCTGGATCACCTAATTTAACATTACACCTAAATTTTCCGAAATACCAAAAATATGTAAAAATCATGAAAATCACTGTCAAATTAAAAAAATCAACTTGTATACTGGTATACCGGTAGTACATTGTACATACATGTACATAACATGTACCGGTATACATATGTGGAGCTTTTTGGCCTTGCTTGGCGGAGATATTAGTGCAAGAGCGTTTTTTTTTTTTTTTTTTTTTTTTTTTTTTTTTTTTTTTTTTTGGGTGCCATGCACACCGAATTTATCCTTACACCGAAAGGTCAGGGGTTGGCTTTTACCGAAATTTTACAACACCGAAAATAAGGTGATATACAGTAACACTTTTACTGTTGCCATACCTCAGTCTGACCTTCGGTGGCTGGAGCACGTACGGACACGGGCACTCCAGCTATCTGCTGAGCGTAGTGCCAAGAGTGCAATGTCATGTACACTTGCCTTTGTGTACGCTATGACTTGTGGTGTACTGCCTTCCACT